CTGCTTTGCCCCTTGGCACAAGGGGGAGATTTAGTGACTTGGGAATCAATATCCTATTTTCAGCCTTCTCATTTGTCATTGCCTAGAGCACTTTTGAAAAGAAGACTTCCAAGCCTGAAACCTTCTCATCATCTCAAATCATAATACCCAAAAGTTTCGTCCCTTCTGCACATCCGAATAGGGAGACAGAAATTTGGACATTGTGTAACTAGCAGGAGCCCTAAAACCAAAACTAGCCAAATAATTGGAAACCAGATGCAAGTTTTGTACAATTGCCAAATCTGAGGGCAAAGGAAATGTCTTCATCTTGAAAATGTTACAACATGGACATTATGGCAAGTTTTCTTTCAGGGAGCTATAATCTATCAAACGCTGAGACCCTGGGCTAAGCAGAGGAGTAACTTTAAAAAGAACCTTCAGAGTGAATTTGCATGGATTTTTATATGCAAGTTAGTTTTAGCTATCTGCTTAAGTTTTATGAATAAATGTTTCTTCAGAGAACTCAGGGAGCTGATCCCACAAGCCAGACAAAATAAAATGTATCACAGCCAAACGTGAGAAAAATCAGAGAGCTCCCTAAGATCAACTTATTTCAGTTCTCCCAGCTGATGGATGTAAAGCAATTCATTTATCTGCTTTGTCAAACCTTTATAACCCATAAGATTACATACAAAGAATCCAAGTATGAAATCCATATCCATATTTCCATGAAAAATTTAAGGAAAAACCATTGTGGCAATGTTATAGACAATAAAGAGCATTTTAAATTAGATGAAGTGATATTTCGATCAAACAAAGTGGGGAAATAACATGACTTGCAGTGACTAAGTCTCATGGTGGGACTACAAGAGAAAAGGATTTATGACAGGCAGCACGTGAAGGTCTGCACCTCCATGCATAACTGACAAGGATATTCACATCCTCATCTCACTGATCTCCCAAATTATCCTGTGCTGTCAATAAATGGCTTTGGAAAGCACGAGAGAGATGGTGACAAGGTAAAGGTACACTGATGCTGCTTATGCAAAGACATGGAATGACTTGGCAACTATGACAAATGCTCCAGGCTGGGACTCAGGAGAGACAGGTTCTAGTTTGCTGTTGTAAACTAATTTGATTATACTATTGCAACTCAGGTTTCTACTTCCTTAATGGAAAGAATAGTTCTTACCTCACTTTAAAATGCATCATATGAACTGATGGGAACTGAGCATTAAGGTTAGGGATTTTGTATGGAGTTAAAGGCACAACATGAAACCTGGTGTAGCCCAAATAGGGAGTTAAATATTTCTAACTATGGACACAAAAATAATATATTAGAATCTTCCTATTATGAGGGATCAAGTATGTTAAGGTATTGTTATTCCTACAGTATGTCCTTTTCTTTGCAACAATGTGACAAATGTTTTTAAACAAGGTAACAACATAGCAGAATTAACATGATAATGAATGATAAATATGGGATGATCCAAAGTAACTGATGATCATTGCCTGATTGAAAGCTACGTGAAGACACATTACTGAGAGTATTCCTCTATTAAAAGTATGTTTGACAGATAAAGATTTCTAATACAGAAAATAAGGATTGAGGCTTTGGCAGCCTGTATTTATCTAGCGAGATTTGTAGAGAAATACATTGCTCACAAGGAATTCTGGCAGATGGTTGAACTGCCCTGTGGAATAGTTTAAAAGTCTTCTTTTTTGAAGTTCAATGTCAACTCTTTGAATATCCACCAAAAACTATTTTGTTAACATATTGTATCTACAGTTCTAGATGTGATTTGCAATTCAGAGGGCCAAACATGTATTTTCTGGTGCACATTCTTATAATAGCATTCAATAAAATGCTTCAGTTCCCAGCCACAGAACTTGTCTTCCTGGCACTATTCCAAACACAGCTGAAACAAATTATGCCACTTCCAATGAAAGGCATAACAGAGAAATAACTAAAACCTTTAAAAACTTAAGTATTTTTGCTATGTGTGAATGCATAGCTGGGATCTGTGAATTAGTTGCTTAGGTCCAGTGGATAGGCACACAAGATAAGCATACAGGTAATGTAGGCAAGCAAAGTAAAGGAGAAACAGATAAGTTTTCTAATATGCATCACAAAACAACACCAGAGAAGCAATTATGTAATAAATTCACCCTGACAGATTTCCCGGTGATGTAAACCAAATAGAATAAAACACTCAAGCATCAGACCTGCAACAGGAAGTGTTTTCTGATTCTGCATTTTTTCGTGGTTATACTACTGCCCAAATACATATGTATGTGTAGGGGAGGTGGGGGGTTGTATGTATATCTATATAAATTGTCCTAGTTTCAGCCAGGACAAAGTTAATTTTTTATACCACCTGGGGAGGGGCATGGCCAGACCCTTATGTTATTGGATACCATCTCACATCGCTTTCAAGGAGCAAGCAAAGGGACTTGCTGTCTCTTTCCAGTGGTGAGAGAAAGGGTTGAGGGAAAAACAGTCCAGTATTGTTTTATTTTCCATGTAAAGAATTTCAACTTTTTCTTATTAACATCATAGCTGTTATTGTTTTATTATCTCATTGGTGTTTCCAGTAAATTGTTTGTATCTCAGCCTGTGATTTTCACCTTTTTGTGCCTCTAATTTTCAACTCCCACCCCGGACAGGAAAGGTGGGGGGGAAAGAGTGGGGGAAGGGAAGCAATTGAGTGACGTCTGGTTTAGGTGAGTCTCACTGAGGTCACAGAATTGGGGAGTACTCTTCCTAAACCATGACAAAATTATATATTAAAATCTCATAAAGCATATAAGAATGTGGGATTCCATGGTACATCCTCTGGATACGTATGAAAAAGGGTCAAAAGGCTTACATTAACCAAATATGTCAATGGCCTGAAGGCCACATTATTTTGTTTTTAGAAGGTGAGAATTATTAATATTTGGTATTATGATAGATATGCATCAATACAACTTATTAGTTGCATTGCTAACAATACTTGTTATCTGAGTAACATCTTGAAAAGTTTAGAATTCTACTTAGAATTATATGTCAAACAGCTTTTCTAATGTTTTTAGTTTTAGTCTGTTACAAAGTAATTACTCATAAAAATGCAGTGTTGCAGTTCAGAAAAGCTGCACCAGTTCCATGGTGTCAGTTTACACAGTTCAAGGTTTGGCCTTTATAGGGGGATTACATAAATGCATGGAAATAGACACATAGATATGTAGAGATACAGCTTTGGATCTGTACAAATTGCCCTTTGGATAATGAGAACTGTGAAAATGTGTGAATGTGTACGCATTCACAGATTTTTGTTTCCCTGATTTCATCAGGAGGCTCTTCATTTTCTCCCAGTCTAAACTTTTTTCCAGCTAGAACTGGTCCCAGAACAACCTTGGAGGAGCATTGTCTTCATGGTTTGTGTGGTTCTGTCTCTGGCATTTGGCTTGTCTTTTACCTTTACCCTCTCTTTAGAAGATGCACAAAACATTACAAAACAAATATTAAATCTCTGCCTACATTTTGGGTACCCCAGGTTTCACCCAGAGCTGGCTAGATGTTCCAATAAGTTTGCCTTTATAACTATACTGTTCCCATCCCCTTAGTGTGAAGTACAATCCTAGCTCATATCTCATACTAGAGGTTTCAACTATTATAAAATTTTATAAACTATTGTAAATTTTTTAATACTGTTTAATATGTAAAACCACAACTGTTAAAAATAAAACAGACAGAGAAGATAATTTTTAAGTGTTCTGGAAAATTTTTCCTCCCTATGTTGCTTTAAATTAATGTAAGTGGTTGCTTGTACAGTGCCTTTGCTCTTCAAATGTAAGGAATTTACTGCAAGTGGGAGCCAAACCCGAGTCATTCCATATTTGTGCTTTGATGCCTAAAGTTCATTATATTTTCCAGATTTTCCAGCGTCAATGCAAGTGGGAAGAGTTGCTTGATATTGAATACCCATAGAAACTGCAGGTTTATTGTGTTATATAGGACTTCTTGCTCAGCCTCTTCCATTACTCAAGAATGAAGGAGCAGCCAATTCCTTAAATATATAGATTCAGTTATAATAAATTTTCCCAAAACAAACTGACATAAAAGACCCAATCTTGAGCTTTATAAAATTCTGTGATAAATCAATTTATTGTTCCTAAATGATGCTGCACACAGCAAATCTCTGCCCTAAGAGTTATTAGGCATGCAGCTTACCAGTTTGTACCAGTGTTTTAACTAATATTCAGTAAAACAAAAAGAGGCAAACTTTGCACTTCAGCAGCATAGCAGTACTAGTGTATTCATGATCTGGAAATGTTTATATCTTTATCTCAGTTTTAAGATAGAAATCCATATAATACAATTTTTTTTTTTAAAGTCCAAACATGCACCTTTGCACCAAATTTCAATCCAGCCAAAATGAAAGCCTAGGTGTTTCAGGAAGGTAGTCTTCCACCAGCAGCCTGGGAGGGGGACAAAATATGCTATAGCTAGAGGTTTGGGAAGCACCAATGGGTCTCATGTTGATGGAAGCTTGCTAAAGTCCATCTGCTCATATCCACATCCATGACAGCAAACCCTTTATGCTGCAGTTTGCAATCGAGCTCAAAAGACATTATATAATGAATACTCCTCAGCAGCACCAATTTTGATGTAACTCATGAAACTTAGGAGTCTCATTACTTCAACTGGTGCAAAATAAATTCACAAAAACAAAAAAAAACACCCCAAAACTCTTTTTCAAATTCACATAGAAAAGAAAAATTAATAAACAAACAGGTCTGATTATCCTGGTTCTCCAGGGGACCCAGTACTTCTTTTCCTGATGCCTGAGGGAAAAGTGCTCTTTTAAGTAGTTAAAAATAGATCCAATTCCTCTTCATCATTATGTTTTCCAACCTGGAAAGTTTGGTGGTGCTTTTTCATCTTTTTTCTGCTTTTTTGGGGTTTTTTTGGGTTTTTTGTTTGTTTTTCTAATTGTAAGAAGATTGATCTGAAATAAACCATTTTTTTTTTCTACCAGGGGAATATCTTGATGATTCCCAAGAATGCCAGTTGTGTGAAATATCCTGTCAGAAATGCATTGGACCTGAGTCAGACAACTGCATCAGCTGCCCACTCACAAGGTAATTGTCTCCTAGCACAGTGCAGTACAAAGATCTCATCATCTGGAGAAGTGGCTGTGTTGTGCTTAGCAGAGACTACCGAAGCAAGAAGTGTCTAGGGTAAAAAAAAACAAACAGGGGACTTGAAAAAACAATTTTTACATAAACAAAATGACTGTCTACATGAGCAGTTATTGTTTAGCATGATTCCCACAGATAAAGAAAAATTCCTTTATATATGTAAAATGGACTTTCATTCAATGTCATCCTTTCTAAATCAAAATTGCTGGAATCAAAATTTTAACAGCAGGAATCTGGGGCATCTGTAGCTCAACACATCTATGAGGATTGGCTCAAGGCATGAGTATAGCCTGAGATAGCCTGAGACCTATTTTGGGAGGTATTCATAGCACCTAAAGATCATTCCCTCACTGATGTGTTATGGGTTAGGCCAATATTTCTAACGTGCCATGAGGGTTGAACAGAACTAGAAAGAAGCTTTTGCACAGGACTTTGCAAATCAGAGGTCTAGGTTTAGGTCATGTTACACCTATTCCAGGAGACTACTGGTTTTGGACACATGTCCAGCCCATAGCTGTATTCTCACACAAGTAACTCTGGTTCTGTTGCACTGGATTGTGTTGCAACCAGCTGACATTTCCACTGGTATGAAAACAGGATCAGATCCTCTTAGGCAAGGAAAGAAAATCCCGAAGCAATTCTGCAGTTTGCCATGAAAATACCTATTATATGACTATGCCAATGAAAGGCATACCAGGAGCAATGGAATCCAATCAATTTTGTAGGTGAGGAAGCATTATTAAATTCTGTTACATCAGAAATGAGAGAAGAGGGAATCTGGGCAGACTTTTGGACTGTGGAGTGGATTTTTCCCATTCACAATGTAATTTAAATTAGATTGTCTGTTCCTTCCTCACAAGCTTACATTGTGAGCTGTACATACAAAGAAGTAACCAAACACAATAATGCTGAATTACCAAGGTACTGGCAGTAATGAGGTCTTTTGTAAGGATGCTCTTCTAACCACAATGATAAGTTCTCTAAAAATTCTGAATTTTGGTTTCTAAATAAAGTTAGAGCTAGCACATGTAGCTAAACTCAGTAATATTTGCATGCCATATAAGCACAGTCCAGCTACCTCCAGTACCTCTGTCACATTTCTCCTTCTCTTTCAGAATAAATCTGAAAATGATCATAGCAGCCGAAATTTATGAGGACATATTGCAGATATTAAATAATGCAATTGGCTGTCTACAAGAAAATAGGCACTGTCTTAATATTATGGAGAGCCTTTTGTTGTCTAGGTGTACTCAAAGTCTGTACTGATGGCCAAAATGGTGCTCAGCTTCTCTAGAAACTGAATCCCAAATCCTCAGATAGCAAAGTGGTCAAAGCAGTTAAGAGCAGAAGATTACAGCCTTTCCTTTCTCATTGTCTTAGGAGGGAAAACACAGTTGAAATCTAGCCAACTTGTTTTGCGTTCTTTTAGTAGTCTATGAAAGATGCATGAATTGATGCATTTCTATTTTTCTCCCAAGCAGATTAAAACACTAGACATTAAGCAGCAGTGAAAAATGGACCATAAATTTTCATCACATAAAAGGATTCTTTAAGTAAATGCTTAATTATCCAGCAAAAGGAGATAATTCAGCAGCCTGATGCCTATGTACTTATGGACGACATATGTCCTGGTTCCAGCCAGGATGGAGTTAATTTTTGCAGTAGGCAGGAGGGGCATGGCTAGGACTGGGAGGTTACTCTATGCTACTTGATCTTATTTCCAGGGGTGGGGGAAAGGATCCCTTTACAGTCATGGATATGACCATGGCATGGTCAGGTATTGTTGTGGGTCCCATGGTAAAGAGGTGAGTGCTGGCATGTGAATCATTCTTCTGCTGTACACTCTGCTGTTGGCATTCTTGCTGATACGCCTCATTTTCTTTTTTCATTGCTGTTTCCAGTAAACTCTTCTTATTTCAACCCATGCTCTTTATCTTTCCTGCCTCAAATTCTCCTCTCCATCCCACCTCAGGGACACAGATGGGAGAAAGAGTAAGAAGCATGTGGTTTGGAGTGTTTTGGTGGGATCACGAAATTGGGGAATCTCTTGGTGTACTGTGTGATAGCAGCTTATGAGATAATAAGATCAAGGGAAGTGAGGGATATCTGGGATGTATATCCAATGTTGCACTTCTTCCCTTATCTCAAGGATAAGGGATCCCAAACTAGTTTTGGGAATACATTAATAATCCTGTCCAGCCTGTGGGAGAAGAGTGGATGATTTTCCCCATCTTTTCACCCCCCATTTCTCCTTCAGACAAGTTTAAGAATTTTTTATTTCCTTTGGATATTAAAGAATAGAATTTTTTATTTCCTTTGGATATTAAAGAATGCATGTCCTTATAGCTGTGTCCAGTACATCTCCTTGGTGCGGTCTGTACCACGCTAAGGGTCAAGAAGGAGATTTCTGGGAAGGTCATTCGAAGATCTGCCCTGAGTGTGGTAGATTTGAGTGGCACAGAACATTGGAGAAAATGGCACTATCTGGGGGGAGATCCTCTGCTCTAGTGGTTTGGAAGCTCACCCCTGAATGACTACAACTTATTGCAGTGTGCTGGACCCTGGCTGCCCTTTACTGGTCACAGGTCAACGCTAGGCAATGCCCTCGGGGAAAGGAGAAGGAAATCAAACCAACCAGCACCATGGCCACTCAAATTGCAGCTGAAACAGAGGAACAACACATGCAGGTAGCAGCTGCCCCTATACTATATAGAAGTAGAAATACAAGATCAATTCAGATTGCTCCATGATGATGAAGAGGAGGCAGGGCCTTGTGAAAAGATTGTCCAGGGCTTTGGACAGATTTTAAAGTCTCAAGAAAGTTAGAGTGCTATGCGCCACCAACACAGACCAGAGTCTCTGCTATTGGGAGCAAGAACCCCACTGCATGGAAGAGACAGTACACACAGTTAAGTAACCTGTGTTTTTTCCTGTGTGACTACAGAGAAGACATGAGGAAGTGGGATGGAAAACCTACCTCTGCCCTGGCAACATGGGTACCTGAGCTGAGAGGAAGAACAACCATCACAGGAAATTCTTCAGGGATAAATGCCACTCCAGTTTCCACTGGACAAGTACTCAGACAGAACAGGAGAGCTGATGTTACTTCCAATCCTCTTGAAGTTCTCCAGTTCATATTTACAAGAAGCAAGTAATGAGTACTATGACCAGGTCTGCAGGGGCTCTGCCTCCAGCCCGGGGCAGGAAGAGGACAGTCAGATCTATTGGACTGTGTGCATCCCATGGCCTGGCATATCAGACCCATGAGAGTGTAAAGTTTTACTTGACCCCAGAGCACACGATGTACTCTGATGCCATCAAGATATATAGGGGCAGAATCCATCTCTGTTTCTGGGGTGACAGGGCGATCCCAACACATGACTGTTGTGGAAGCTGAAGTGAACCGAACAGGGAATGAATGGCAAAAACACCCCATTGTGACTGGCCCAGAGGCCTTGTGCACTCTTGGCAGAGATTACCTCAGGAGAGGGTATTTCAAGGACCCCAAAAGTCATTGTTGGGCTTTTGGGATAGATGATGAGGAGGCAGAGGAAATTAAAGAGCTTCACACCTTGCCTGTTCTCTCAGAGGACCCTTCTGCCATGGGACTCTTGGAGGTAGAATAAAAACATCACTACCACAGCAGTCACCATCGATGACAGCATGCCAGGCAGGACTCTGTGACACCCATCCATGAGGTGATTCCTGAACTGGAGAGCTGGGGAGTGGCCAGCAAGACTCACTCACTCTTTAATGGCCCTGTGTGGCCAGTGTGTAAGTCCAGTGGAGAGTGGAGACTGACAACAGACTGTCATGGCCTGAAGGAAGTCACACCACCACTGAGTGTTGCTGTGCCGGACATGCTGGAATTTCAGTACAAACTGGAGTCCAAGGCAGCAGCGTGCTGCCACCATCAATATTAAAAAGGTGTTCTTCTCCTTTCCTTCAGCAGACTAGTTCAAGCCACAGTTTGCTGGAGGGGCATTTGGTACACCTGGAGATGCTCACCCCAAGGGTGAAAACACAGTCACTGTTTGCCGTGGGTTGACCCAAACGGCACTAGAAAAGACAGAGACTCCACAACATGTGCAATACATTGATAACATCCTTCTTATCTGGGGGGAAACACAGCAGAAGAAACTTAGAGAACTGAGAGAAAATTGTTCAGATAATCCCAAAGGCTTTACCTTAAAACAAGCTAAGGCAAAGGGAAGTCCCAAGAAATTCAATTTTTAGGAGCCAAATGATGAGAGGGACATTGTCAGGTTCAAATGGGTGTGGTCAACAAAATAGCAGATATGTCCACACAAAACAGCAAGAAAACCCCATGAGCTTCCCCCAAGTCTATGGAGTTTTGGAGTAGACATATTCCAGATTACAGTCAGACTGTAAATCCTCTCTATCATGCAACAGGAAAGAAGAATGATTTTTAGAGGGGTCCTGAACAGCGACAAGCTTTTGAGCAAATTAAACAAGAGATTGTTTATGCAGAGGCTCCTGAGCCAGTCAGGACAGAACAGGTTGTAAAAGTGTGCTCCACACTGTAGCCAGGAATAATGGTCATTCCTGGAGTCTGGCAAACAGATTCAGAGGAGAGTAGAGAGAGGACAGCCGGGGTTCTGGAGTCAGGGACACAATGGATCTGAAGCCTGCTGCACCCCAGCTGAGAAGGACATACTGACAGCTTATGAAGGAGTTTGAGCTGTTTTAGAAGTGTCTGGCACCAAAGCAGCTCCTCTTGGTACTCTGACTGTCAGCAAATGGCTGGATGTCCAAAGAGAAAGTCCCTTCCACACATCCACTGATGCTACACGGAATAGATGGATTGTACCAATCACACAGTGAGCTCAAATGGGAAACCACAATTGCCCAGGGATCTTGTAAGCCATTGTGAACTGGTCCAAAGATGAAAACTTCATCATCAGAGGCGGAGGAGGAGGAGGAGGAGGAGAAAGTGACAGGTTGAAGATGTCCCACCATATAATTGGCTGAAAGAAAATGAAAAGTAATATTCTCTCTTTACTGATGGTTCCTGCCGCACTGCAGGCAGACATTGAAAATGGAAAGCTGCTATAGGAGCTCTACACAGCAAGTCACAGAAGATATTGATAAGATATTTGATATCATGTCAAATTGCAGAGCTGAAAGCAATCCAGCTGGCTTTAGATGTTGTTGAATGGCAGAAATGGCCAGCACTCTCTCTGCCTTTACACTGACTCAATGAATGGTAGCAAGCTGCCTGTGGAGGTGGTAGGACCTATGGAAAAAGACCAACTGCCAGCACAAGTATAAAGCAAAGGCCACATGGTTAATTAACACCCAAGGCTCTGCCAGTTGAGCTTTCCCTGCCCAAACAAAACCCCACGTACTGCATAATGGAATAAAGTCTCTGTGGTGCATATGAGGAATGTTATAGAAGACACGCTGAATTAGTCCTGCCTTAAGCAAATGTAAACCCATCTGTGGGACCTGGTGGACTGGTGGGTGAAGTAGAGGGCCAGGGAAAATCAATGCATTACTCAAGGGGATTTGATTTCCTGTGTAAGAACAGTTTGTAGTGTTGAATTGTATAATATTTGTTGCTGAATGACACTACAGACACAGAGAGTATTCCATAACTACCATGGACCATGAGTACAGCCAGTTCCAAGTACACCAGTTGTGAGCTCCTGACGCAGCAACCAGCTGACAGCACACCAGCCCTCCTGCCCTGAAAGATTTCTAGGATGGGTGGAACCCACAGTCCTGGACTAAATGAACTTAACAGATGTCTTGGAGGGACAGCCACTGACTATGGAAATCACACCTGTGCTTGTGTACACACGTGTGTGTGTGTGTGTAACTGGAAGGTGTAGGATCTGGGCAAGACACAGATGATACAGAGATGAATCCTGTCCTGGCTTCAGCCAGGATAGAGTTAATTTCCACAGTAGTCAGGAGAGGCAGGGCTAGGACTTGGAAGTTATTCTATACTGCCTCACTGCTAGTTCCAGGGGTGGGGGAAGGGGTCCCTTTCTGGCGTGGCACAGTCAGGTGTTGTCAGGGGTTCCCTGTGGCGCACTTGTGAGCACTGGCATGAGAATTGTTCAGCTGTTGTACGCTTTGGAATTCATATTCTTGCTGTTACTGCTCATTTTCTTACTTCTTTGATGTTTCCAGTAAATTGCTCTTATCTCAGTCTGTGATCTTTACATTTTGTACACCTAATTCTCCTCTCCATGCCCAGCAGAGGAGGGGGAGGGAGGACAGGCAGTTGAGCATAGTTTGGAGTGCTTCAGTGGGAAAACTAAATTGGTAACTGCCATTCCTAAGTCACGACAACGTGTAAGTCTAAAATACAGCTCCTAAAGGCCAATATTCAGATAGCTGTTTGACTCCATGTACAAGATTGTATTACTGAAGCCATAGTACTTTTTAAAAGCAGTCCTAAAAATAAAACAGATGGGTTATTCCCTCACAGACATAGACAAAGTACTACTTTCCTTTTAGCAGACACATGGGACCATTGTCAGAGATTGTGATATAGGGACATCTAGGTAAAGAACCAAAAGGTAATTTTTCTCAGAAAAATATTTCAGAGAAAAATCATCTTTGAAGTCTAAGATTCACATTCAAAACACTTTTCATATAGTAAATACTATGAATAAGATCAGGAAAACAAAGTCTTGAAGTTCAAAGACTTGTAAATAGAGTGAGAGAAGAATTTATTGAGTTTCTTTTTAGTTTCCTTTAGATTTAAAGAACAAGTAGTAGTTATATTTGTAATTATGTCTCTGTCTTCTTTAAAAGAGTCTTTGATGATGGCTGCTGTGTTATGCAATGCCCCAGAGGAAAGTTTGAATTCAGACAGCAGTGTCACTTGTGCCATCATACCTGCCTGGACTGCAGTGGAAGTGAACCTAATAAATGCACCACTTGTGGAACAGGTAAGTAAGATTTCCTTTTGCCAGCTTTTTCCCCTCCATTGGCCTCCAAATTCCCTTTTCCCTCAGCTCTCAGGGCCAGTTGTTAGATTCAATAAAATGAGTAGTGGTTTTACTACCAATCTGCATCATAATCTTCTGGTGACTCTGGAGGGAATTGGAACTCAATTTTCTTTTCTTTTTAAGTACAAGAAAACACAGCTCTGTATTGTCCTTTCAACTTAATGCATTTCCCTTGGTGTTTTTTCAATAGGAGCTATGTTAACAGAAACAGAAACAAGAAAAAACAAAAAAGGAGGGGGGACAGAAAACCTACATAGTCTGCTTCTGGAAAAGAAAGCTTCATACATGCTTCCCCCACCCACTGCACAGGATGTGCTATACTGAAATGGGGCCAGTTTGCTTAAGCAGGCAGGGAGCCAGGCTATTTTCCTAAGCATCTCTCTGGGAAAGGCTAAGAAACAAGCATGGTGGGTTCCACTGGAGATTGCTGTGTCCCTACAGCTGAACAAACAGGGTTTGCAAAGAGAAGCTTATCACCAACACACATTTTTATAGATCTTAGGTTGAGGGGAAAGCTAATGTAGCTAATTTTGTGGAAATTCCAAAAGGCCACTCTTCTCCTTTTGAAATTCTGATTTAAAAAATATTTCCTATTTTCTCTGTAACATCTGATGAGCAAAAACCTGAGGCCATCACCTGCAAGTATGTGCAACTAGTCTGAACTGTCCTTGGAAAAGTGTGTTTAAGATCTACTTTATAATAATGAGTAATATTTTATGAGCTGTCTTCTGAGGTTCACAATGGATTCACAGCCTTTTCATTTCAGCTGCTACTTCCATTTCAGTCTTAATCACAAAGGTACAGATTTTATTCTTTGGGGAATGTGACTCAGTAGATGAAGTTTTCAAATGGTACTTCAGGTCTACCATGAGAGCAAGTTTGTATAATTTCTCCCCAAAGTCTCTCCCTTATGGAGGACAGCAAGATATATTTCTGTATTTCTATGACTCAAGAAATTAAGACACTGATGAAACTCACACCCTTAGGAGGCAGAAAAATTAAAGAATTGCACATGAAAAGTAAAATAAATAAAATTCAACTTCTGCTTTGGCGCAGTACCATTGCCTATTATAGCTGCTTTCTCTGCATTTTCAAAAATAAATTCTGATAAGCAAATCCTTGCTCTGCCAGTTAAGGCAATGAGATACACTTAGCACAGTTATATGTGTAATTTATACTGTGGGGTGAGTGATTAGAAAACTCCCCATGTTGCAGCACATGGCACATGAAGTTATATGTGTTTTCACAGGCTTGACTCAGAAGGATTTGGAGCAGGGGACCTCCCAGTTCTCATACATTAGAGACTGCTTGTGCTTTCATAGCTAATAGCTGCACATCTGCTATTTAAATTCAAATCTAGATGAATCCACTGAGATGAGGATTACAGTTTAATCTTCATGGGACACAGATTGACTCTTTCCAAAGGTGAAGCAGGCCACTTTGCTTTCCTAGTAATAATTGTACATCTGCGTGTACAATGTGTTACAAATACTTGTTTGTCCTCTGCAAGAGAATTCAGAGATGGATATTTTTTTTTTTTTATTGGATTGATGGATATAAAGAGTTGATTGCTAGCATGACATTTTATATGCCATAAATCTCCAGGAATGTGAAAAGTTTGAGGTACTGAAACTTTTATACATCTCATCTGGTGTAAAACTGCAAAATCTAGCAGTCAGTGTCTCTACTGCAGCACTGGAACCTCATAAGGCTCTTTCTTATACCCCAAATGCCCTCTGTGGCTGACAGTTTTTTCCCATTTGTTTGCCACACAGACAGAAGAGGGGTGGAACGCTTCCTGTATCATGGGGAATGCAGGGACAACTGTCCTCCAGGTCACTACCACTTGGAGCATACCTGTGTGCCCTGCCCTGGCCACTGTGAGGTGTGCCAGAACTCCAGCCACTGCAAAAGATGTTTCAGAGGCTACTACCTTACTCAAAACGTGTGTCAGAAGCATAGTTGTAGAGAAGGTAAGCATCTTTCAGTAGGAGATAACAAATGCTCTATTCAATTTGTTACAGAAATCTGCTTAAGTATATTAAAAAATATTTTGAAATACACAGTCACACCTGACCCTGAGGTCTTTTAAGTTCCAGCTCTGATCCTCTTCTAGTATCATGTTATTGTAAAGTAAAAGTATTTTACTCAAATTGAGCGCGTTATGCAAAAAACAAATGAGAAAACAAGTTTCCATGAGTCTTTCTCCTTTTTTAATTTGAGTCAAGTTCATTTCCAAGAACCTTGCTGAGTGATTCCAAATGTTGCATTTTCAAGAATTAACCCAAAACTGATGGTTTGCAAAACACAGGTGAAGTTGAAGATCCTGACTCTGGAGACTGCATACCATGTTCAGATGGATGCCACAATTGCAAACAGGGTAAGCATTCTCTTAATCAACTTTATTGTTATACTTAAGGTAGGGAAAATTTAGTTCCACTCAGTCTTGTCATTAGCTTAATGCATGCTGCTGAGAAATTAGTCATTGGTGCAGGTGGCTTCTCACCCACTAAATTATACTCCATACCATATTTATTTTTAAAATAAATTTCTTAAATGTATATTCAGCATAAATAAGAATAATTTTATACTAATTTAATTATTAAAACTTGCAGCATTTTTATTTTTTTCTGTTTGAATGCCACACTCAGGCTGAAATATTTACTGACTTTCTGAAGCTATTAAGCTTTTATCAGACACAGATTTTTACTGTAGATGTTCAAATTTTCTATGCCTCAAAACAGATCACTACCCTGTGCTTTTTCTTCAAGGATATAGACATAAGGACAATCTTTAAATTTCATTCAAGAGCAAGTTATTGCAATAATAATGCTACTGCTCAAAAAAAATCCTTGTTTACATTTCAAGGTTGGTGCAGGCTAACCCATCCATCCATCCATCCATCCATCCATCCATCCATCCATCCATCCATCCAAAGTGCAGTTCATTTGGCATTCCTGTGAAATAGGAAAGAAAGGAAATAGGCTGAGTTGCAAATGCAGCCAGAAGTGTTAAATAAAAAGTGGGGGTTGAGAGTTAGGAGGAATCTCAGCTTCCACATCACAAAGTACTTGCCATGCTTCCAGCTTCCCTGCAGTTTCAGGGGGTTCTCCTGCTACCTGAATATCCAGAGAAAGTGAGACTGGAAAGACTAAGAAGCAGCAAGTGCAGAGTGTGCAGTCATGGGTGACCACTTAGAGTCCCATGGGAGTGTGTTAGAGGGGTGTGGTGCTCTCCTCCAGGCAAGCATGGATTCTCCTTTGTCATGTTCCAGAAGTCAAAACCTTGGATGTAAAATTATGGCCTTTTCCATAAAAAAAGTATCTCTCACATTCAGGGTTGCCACCCATTCATTGTTGAGACACTTTCTGGATTTGAGTTACCAGTTCTGCAAAACTTAGAACAGCACAGTATGGGCATGCCATTGCAACTCTAAACCACAACTGTCTGTCCAGCTCTTTTTCTGGCTACACTAACTGGAATACCTAACTTACTGTAAGGGTTTTCATCAGATAATTCCTTCTTTCTGCCAGTTGTCTGATCTAATATGAGATACCATAAAAAAATATCCTGTGATGCTGGTGACCAGCCATTCCATGTGAATTCTGTCAAGCCTAAGGCTTTCCTCTGTGACTACAACTGCCCCTGTCAACATTGCTGAATGAAGAGATGGTTTTAACATGGATGCAACCTCACTGTGATCTCCCTTTGTATGGAGTGTTATCCAGGTTCATGGCAGCTGCCTGCTTGGTTGAGAGGAGCAGAAGTTAAGGGAGAGTGTTTCAACACTTAGCTTTATTGGTGCTGTCAGATGTTACTTCCCCATACTATTATTTTCTGTGGTTTTTACAATGATTGTGAATTCAAATTATTTATTTTTCTTCTGAAACTATGTAGTGGCAATTGGTGTTTTGAATTAGAGAGAAATGTAGTATGTATGAATAGAAACATTTTTTAAGAAATAGTAATTTCAAGTGACTCAGAGTTTGTTATGAACATAATAGGCATATTTAAGGAGACTGGAAGGCTGTTCATGGTCAGCTGGCATACAAAAAAAGGGGCTGCATTCATTTGCCTTTTTTTCTGGGAGGATCACTGATGTCCTAAATATTAATAATCCATAACATTCAGTAGATACTTTCAACTTCTTGCACTCAAAGTTCTGATGTAAAAGAGGGTTTTTAAGAGCTTCAGGATGGACACATTAGTTTTCACTGCTGTGTAAAGTCAGAAGTATTAAGATTCCAGAGTTTATTTATAGGCATTCTATTAAGGAAAGTCTTGGGTGCTCATGATGCATATATTACTGAGAGTCAGAGGTTGGTTTGCTGTTAGTTCTACTTGGAGAAGAAGAATAGTAGTGGCCTAAAAGCACAGTCCCAAGCAAATTTTGGAAACTATGATGTATTCTTGAAATAAGGCAGAGCCTGTAAGCTTCAACTTCAAATAAGTCAGGTAGCTATGGTAGATACCTCTATCTACCTATATTATATGGGAGATATTTGCTTGTATTTTCAGTCTTAACATACAGTGAGTTTTCAGGCATATTAACAACTTCATTTATAGATAAGTACAATAATGGCTTTCTCATGTCTAATCAGAAAGCTGATGTATTCAGAAACTTTTGTAAAAAATCCCTTAAAAGCAAAAACTTCAATGCCTGTCTCTTACAAGTTCATTATTTTCCAGGCCCTAGAGAAATTACACAGCCATAAAAATAATTTAAAATACTAAAATTTTGAGGTGAGAAAATAAGGAATATCCTACATTTAGTTTCACGTCTTCATATTATTTCTATAGATTCCCTTTTAAAATTAAGTGGATGCTAGAGTGTCTTGCAGTCTCTTTGTCCTCTCTTCCCGTTAACACAATTGAATAATTTATTCTAAGAACTGTAGAGAAGGTATAGGAAAAGTTCAATGGTATGAACTTTTCAGGTAAAAGTACAGTGGAGAAAAAAAGGAATGTAGTAATCATAGCAATTGGAATAAAAATTTATATAGTTCACATATTGAAAACTAGTTATTCATATATACAATGCAAATATATTTTGTGTGTATTTAATGATCCTCAGCTGACTGAAGACCATTCTCTCATAGAAAATCATTCAGCACCTGCTCATTCTGAAGGGCTTTAAAGTCCTTCAGTGTAAACTCTAAGAAGTAAAAATAATTAACTTCTTCAGTTTAGTCTGAGCTCAGGTTCACTTACTTCTATTTATTTTAAATTCTAAACATTCTAAACCAGGAGTAGCAAAATGCAAATGTTTCTCCTACTGTCTACAAATTACAAAGATTATGATTATGATTTTTCGCTTGTAGACAGAAGTCTGGTTTTTAGGAGGGGTATATAATCATATTAAGATAACTGAACTGCCTGTTTTCCTACTAGCCTGAAAGAGTTTTGCTCAAAAAAATCATTCCCACAAGGCACCAAATAATAGATTAAACCATCATCTGCAGTCTTGGGCAATGTTGTTCCTGCTTTGCACAGACAAGAAAATTAGTAAGATTTGATTCCTCCTGGCATGATTCCATGTGCCAGCAGAATAGAGCAAGTCTGCATGGGCACTTTCTCTTTTTGATCAGTAGTGACACTACATCCAGGTGAAGACAGAGGTATCACACTTTTATTTACATTTTGCATACCATATTAGGCATTTCAGAGAAGAAAGTAAAACCCACACAGTAAGTAACACTGCAGGTTGTTCTTCACCAAATGTGAGGATATTAAAGTAGATAGTATTTGTTTGTAAGACCTTCTGGAATCCTCAAGGAATCTAGTCAAATCTGTTTGGTTTCCTCCAAGTTTGGGGTGGATTTTGTTTGAAGGCAGCAGGGTGGCAATCTATCTTTACTGTATCAACAGTGAAAATCAAAAAGCACAGATAGGAGCTCTGAGAAGAGACTTAATCAATGACAGGTAAGTCTATGTTGTTAAAGTACAAATGATGTTTTCTTTTAAATTCAGGTAATTATTTTGTTTCTGTTTCACTTCATTAATTCAGAGGCCAGTCATATTTTAAGTGTTTTAAGTGATGTAAAGAATCTTTAATGCTCACAGGCACCATTCTGCCTGCAAACACTAATGAGTCCTGCAGTATGCTGATAGTAACATTGCCTTAGAAAGCACTAATCCCCAGAAAATCTATAGCTTTGTATACACAGTGTCCAAACAATGGCTGTGCACATTTGGGTTCACCTCCCCACTTTGTCCTGCCCACGTGCTCTGGGGTGCGTTTGGCTCTGCTCGATGCCACACGAGCCAGATCGGCATCCTAGTACACAACTTCCCATGAGACCTGCAAGGCAGACTCTCACACAGGCAAAAGCCAAGGCATAAGGGTAGCTTCAGTACTGATGTTTAAATTCTCAAAAACTTCTAATATATCCCTGTTTCTGTGCAAGCAAACACAAGCACAGTATTGGACAGACAAAGTGTCTAAGAAAGTGCTGGATACAAGTCCACACAGCCAAGATAATCTTTATGATACCTCATACCTTTGGTACCTCAGCTCTTATAACCAAATTTTGGACATGCTGAGTTACTTTTTAGAGCAGTAATGATTGCTCTCTCTGATGCAGAAAGATGGAAGCTGCAGTTCCTCATTACCTTTGACCACCAGGTTTTGATTAAATTTTAATGTCTTTTTTTCTGGTGGGTGCCAGTAAACATCATGAAATCTACAAAATTAAATCCAGTTTCCTCAACAAAAGGAGCTTTTGAAAAAATAAAGTTCTTCTGAAAAAAACAGTAAGGAAGAGGATTTTCTTTATGCCATTGCAGCATTTGCCTTCCCCTTCTCAATGTGAGTTCACTTACTCACATATATAGATAACAGCAGGATAGCATTCATATTTTCTCCAGACTTTTAAAACCATAATGAATTTCAAGCACTTTCTTCAAAGTCAAACCTTCCGTTTTAGAAAGCCTGTGGCTATAAGCCAGCACTCAGAACAATAGAAAAAATAAGGTAAAACTTTGGATTCTGAGCCACTTAAAGTAATTATTCAAAGAGAATTTCAGAGTCAATAAAATGTAAGAACATAAAAATCTTGGCTCCTATTTCTTATATTTAAAATACAACATGTGGACTAGTGTTTTCCCAAATAATTTCAGCTCTCTCACCAATCATACAATTTACATATGCCCTTTTGCACTTTCATAATGAACAGACACCAAATTTAGCTACCTTTCAAGGTGATAAGTGATAAACTTCTCTGATACACCATATCTACTGGCCTGCATATATACATTTCACAGGCAGAAATTGCCACACCATTAACTAATAATGCTAAGTAAATAGAAGCTCTTAGTTCATTGAGGAGGTAAATGTTTGCAGCACATGGAGCTCACACAGATCATTGATACATTCATAGGATTCAATGGAGGATGGTCTTCCTCTCAGAAGTGATTGTGTAAGCCAGGCATCCTCTCAATTTGCAGTGCCAGTCTTCCCAAGGAGCCACACTTCCCTGACACAGCTCTTAATTACTTGTGGGTTCTCTCCCACTCACCCAATTTGTGAAGTTAAAACCTCTTATGTTATGAATAGTTCTTATTCCTACAGAATACCTCATCTCCATGCAGCAAAATACAATATATACCGACTTTCAATCCATCCAAATTTCTACTGTGAGCACTATGATATGGCTTTGCAGCCTTTGCACTAGGACAGTTTTCAGAGGCTAACACTGAGAGTAAAGTACTCCTCAGTAGGGCGCAGAGTTATAACACTTTTCTTTTTCAAAGACACCTTACAAAAGAAATTAATAGTGAGAAAACCCAAGGAGCCATGTCCCTGAAATAAAGGCCTGCTAAAGAGGCATTTAGGCCTAAGTGTGGCATTTAGCCTCTTTGATCTAGCAAGGTAAAGCCTGAGCCACTCTCAAAGGTCAGAAAGAACCTGTTTAGTTTGGTTGGCGTTACAAGGTCTGTGTGAAAAACATAAATCTATAAAGGCTGAAAGTGAGAATAAAAAATACAAAAATTATCAACAAGATGCATTATACAGATGGAATGGAGAAACAGAGTTTGTAAGGCTGTGGGAGAAAAGTGTCTGGAGAATATTTAAGGAAGTCTGAGGCAGCTGAAAGAGCAGCACTGTGAACATACCTAGGCTTACAGATATGGATTTATCATTACATGATAAATGAGTGAAAACTGAACTGGTTCCCATAGCAACTTAAGAAAGAGAAAGAAAAACTTCATTTCTTCAAACTACCCCTGATGATGAATAGACTTTGGCTTTCAAGAGAAAATTATGATAAGGATAGTTTTTTATCTCAGAGTAAATCTTCCGCAAGAGTTTGGTCTTGCAGAAGGGGTTTTAGATTTGCAGATAATAAGACTTTTTTCTACAAGCTTCTGTGGTGATAATATGCAAACTGTGTAGAAAAAAATGCCCAGTGCGTTTTGAAAATCAGTTTCTCTGATTTTCAGTCCTGACATTTCAATGTAGGCAGAACATTACATTAGAGTATGTTGTCTTTCCAAGAGGATAGGTAAAAAAGAATTTCCTTGCACATTGAAGGTACAAGGTGCATGTACTGAAAAAACTTTCTTTCTTTGATTTTTTTATTTTTCTGAGATAGAAAAAACTACTTCCTGTGTAAAATCCAGGCTTGGGAAAAAACACTAGAAAAGCTTAAGATACAAGACCGAACCTTGAGTTCTGCAAGAATATTCCAGATTTTAGTTTAAAGTTCTCCACAGAAATAACAGCATGGAAGAAAACTACTGGATCAGACCAGAAATTCACCTAGCTCAGAAGCCACTGACTAAACATACCCCTGAAATTACATATACAAATAAAGCTTGTATTTCCTTCAACAATTTGCAGTTCAGAAGCTTCATGAATCAAAACAGTCAAGAAATGTTAACTACTGAATCTTTCTGCTGGAATTACTGAAGAAAACATACATTAAAACAAATATAATCTAAACCATCTGCAGACCAGGCCTTCTTTTCAGGGATGTTTGCTGCCTCCTTGGGGCCCAAGTCAGGGATCTCACCAAAAAATAAAGATTAACAGAGCCTTCAAAATACTGCCCACTAGTGCTTTCACAGGGGTACCAGTGATATTTCAACAAGAAGCTCAAGGTTAATGAAAAGAGAATTTAGGACACTGGAAATAGCGAGTGCCAGATCCTGTGCTTTGGCCACAATAACCCCATGAAGCTGAGAGAGTTGGAATTGTTTAATCTGGAGAAGAGGATGCTCAGGGGGAACTTCTGAATTCTCGCCAGTTGTGTGAAAGGGCGTTGTAGCCAGGTGCAGATTGACCTCTTAGCCAGCTATCAATAGGATGAAAAGACGTGGTCTTTGTCTGCTCATGGGGAGGTTTAGGTTGGATGTTGGGAAGAATTTCTTCAGAGAAATGGTGGTTAGACCTAATGGACTACCCAGGGAGGTGGTAGAGTCACTGTCCCTGCAAGTGTTTGTGGAAAGACTGGACATGGCACCTAGTGCCATGGACTAGTTGACAGGGTGTTAGGTAAAAAGTTGGACTCACTTATCTCAGAGGTCTTTTCCAAACTCATTGACTCCATGATTCCTTGATTCAGTTGAGAAGGTGGTGTTCTCTTCAATTCTTCCAGAAATGAAGAGCATAGTCTCTCATAGCAGTCTTCTGGACAAAACTTCCAGCACAGAGCTGGATAAACACATCATGGGGTGGGTGAGCAACCAGCTCACAGGTCAGGAACAAAGGGTGACAGTGAATGGGGTGACATCAGACTGGTGACCTGTCACCAGTGGGGGTTCCCCAGGGCTGCATCTTAGCCCTGTGCTCTTCAGCATCTTCATTAACAACCTGCATGCAGTGCTGGGAGGGATACTAAGCAAGTTCACAAATGATACAAAACTGGGAGGAGTTGTTGAATTCATCAAAGGGAGGTCCTGCAGAGAGACCTCGGCAAACTAGACAACTGGGCAATCACCAACCATGTGAAGTTCAACAATGGAAAGCTCTGCACTGGTCTCCTTGAGGACTGTGTGCAGTTTGGGCACAACAATATAAAAAATACATTAAGTTATTAGAAAACTTCCTAAGTACTTAGCTCCTTCCAGGTACCTGGATTATGCTGAGGACTAAAAAGTCACAGGTTACTATGAAAATACAGTCCAGGATCTGATTGTGGAAGATTTCATCTCAAAATAAAGGTGAAGAGAGATTCAAAGACAATGATGTTCTTTTTCCAGCTGTAATCATTTTACTTTAAGAAATATGAACATAAAATTGGGTAGCAGAAGTTCTTTTTGTCATTCTGGTTTTTACTCTGAAAATTATTTTAAAATAATTTTATATCTTTAATTTCAGATGATCCAAGAATCTGTATAACATGCCTTCAAAACTATTACATGTAAGTATAGCTGTATATAACTAGCTCTTCATGACTGCACATTTTTCTGAAGCAAAAATATGCATTTCACTACATAGATCTGTGCCGTGTATGTTGTCTCATCCTTTAATTTGCTTGTCTGAAAGACAGGAAATGGGAAAAAGACTTGAGAAATGTTGGAAAGCTAGCAAATTATTCAGTATTGAGACCTGTTAAAACTTATGGACTGGTGGGACCTTTGTATTTCAGAACAGAGGAATATGGAACAAAAAGTGTCAAAATGCTAAGCAGTGCATATGTATTTGGAACAAATTTGCTTTTAGTATATTGTGTCTAGCTCTGATATGTGAAGTTCATAAGACTTATAAATGTATGGAGTTTATGCAAATGAATAAAAAAGTAATTAAAAGCTTAAATTAAATGGAAGGAAAGAACATTGGTGATTTTTAAAGAGAGCATTTATAGATCTCTGTAAAAATTGGAAAAGAAAATATTAATTATGTTGACTCTATAAACAAAGGCACTGGCTATTATGTTTTTACAAGCAATCAGCTCTTTACAGTCATGATATAATAATTCTTCATGAAGCATGTATTGAGGTTTCTGCCTACCTTTAAAAAATACAATAAAATTAATCACACTTAAGACTCCTGACATTAGGAAACATGACTTTGCTAGTTGAATAAACAACATAACCACAAACATACTCCAAATCCTCATTATATGAATAATTTGTGTTCATTATGCTGATCATGCTTTATCATTACCATGCCTAGAAACACACAGAAAATAAACTCAATGACCTTCAAAAGAAACTTACTAATGATGTTCTACTTTGTCTTACAGGTATAAGCAGCATTGCTACAAAGACTGTCCAGAAAATACCTACAGAGATGAAAGTTCTTGGCAGTGTAGAGGCTGTCCTAGCAACTGTGATAGCTGTGACAAGGATGGGTGCTACTCATGTGAGGAAGGCTTTTATCTCTCAGGTAAGCAAAGTACAAACAATGGAATATTACATAAAAATATTTTAGAGTTTTCTTTAGAAAAATACTGGATCCAAACTCTCAAATTCATAAATCTATTCTGTGGCAGACAATGGAGGCTGAAGTGACTTAACTCTTTGCAGAATCAGGCATTTGTGTTAATGTAAGGTGATTATGTTACCCAGGAGAGTAATTTGGTTCAAAGGGTCTATATACTTAAATTTCAGCTCTTTTGGACACCTAAAAAAAATTTGTATTCAATTCAGACTTTGTGAAAGGAGGGTTTTTTAACTAAAGAAAGACATTTAAATGTTTCCTTACTATTTGTAAGTCCAGTTTTACTTCAACTTTTAAACACTCTGAAAAAAGCTCAGTTAAAACCACTAAATTCCAAACCAGATTCACACAAGAGTACAAATCTCCTAGCTTTTTAAAGAAGCCATAAATCAGGCAGCTCTGGTTCAGACATGGTGCCAAAAATGAATCACAGAAATTCCTGAGGCTATAATATTCTCTTGCCCTGGCTGTTGAGAGTGCCCAGTAGTGGCATCACTCTCATGGATAACTCTGTGGTCACACCCAGGGTGAGTTGTGGGTCTGTGATTTCTTAAATTGAAATTAGACAAAACTCAAAAAGCCGTAAGTGCTGCAACTTCCAGAGGTTTTGATGAGATATGCCAAACCTTAGTCTGAATCAGATTAAAACTTGAGTTTAATTTCATATTCAGCAGAAACTAGAGATCCCATAAATTTGCATATGTCTAAAAATTTTGTGTATAGCTAAGAAACTTAGGGACATCTAGTCATTAATTTTCTATTAAGCCAGTAAAATTGTTTGGATTCAACCACAAAACTTTTACCCAGGCATGGACTTCCATTAAATTTGTATGTACTAATGTTTAGTATATTAATTAAAGCCAAGTTAGAGGTAAATTTAATTTCAGATTGGTTTGAAGTTTGTGAAGTTTCTCATATGAAATTGAACTGAATTTAGATTTCATGCTAAAAAATTAGAGTTTTTATAGCTGCATACAGTTTCATGTGTGTCCTGGTTTAGGGCAAATTTGGGAGAAAACCTTCGAATGAGATCCCTCCAGAAAGCAAATTCAAGTAGCTCCTCTCTGAACTGGTTTGGGAAAAGATTTCTTTTGAAGGAAAATGTAAAAAACTGTTTATTTAACAAGCAAAGTATCTACAAGCATAAAAAATTAATAATATTAAATAATAAAACCTCTTGCAGTTCTGAAGAGATAGCAAATCCAGAAAGCCCTTGTCGTGGGGCGTAGCTCAGCTCGCTCAGGTTCTTATCAGTCCCTCCAGCTCTGCAAAGTGCCAAGGCCCAGCTCCTGGGGTTTGTCTGGGTTTTCAGTCCAGAGCAGGTTTGCACAGACAAGGGAGAGCTCTGTCCCACTGTCTGTCCGTGCTGCAGACAGCACAGCCCAGGAGCAGAAAGCAGAGGAGTGAGTGCTGTTTCTGAAAATAAACTGCAGCTTCTTCCTTCCCCACTTCGCTCTTGGAACCAGTCTGAAAGGTGCAGAACTTAATATGTAACATAAGGCTACTGGGGATACCAAGCATCATGAAGTCACCCAAGGACAGACAACGTCCCTGGAGACAGAGGGATGGACGGGGTCATAATGCTTCCAGGCTCTGTTTTTATTGCAGATGGCACCTGTGTGAGTGAGTGTGGAGACGGCTTCTTTGCTGATGGCATCTCTAGAGAATGCGAGCCTTGCCACAGGAGCTGTGCAACCTGTGTGGGGTACAGTTACAAGAACTGTACTGGGTGCAAAAACAGTTTCCAACTATCTCATGGGCAGTGCCTGAATCCAAGAAATGCTCTGCCAGCTGGGAAGTTCCGGAGTGGTAAGTTGAAACAGATCTTGTAATCTTTTCTGTTTCTCTGAAGACTACTACAAAATTTAGAGAATAGCAAGATTTTGCAGAATGCTTTAAACTACACTTTTGTAATTTTAAAAGTATACAGACCAAACCCATTGGTTCCACAAGCAGAAATTCATTTTCCTGCAAATAGTGTAACATTTCAATACAATCTAGGTGTTTCTTAACTATCTTCTCTGAATAAAGATTAAAAATAAAATTGACAAAAACAGATAAAAATATTAAAAAGATAAAAGATGCGTAACAGATTAAGGTCCTGCGAGTTCCTTATCTGAACTACTGGGTTTCTTGTAAATTAGGTTTTAGACCAGCTTTGTGGCTATTTGTTCACTCCAGAGAAGCCGATGTAAGTTGGAGGAAATAGAAAATAATATAGTGTTGAACTATGCATGTGTGATGTGAAAAAAAATCTACCCTCTCTCTTCTTTCCTTTCTCTGTATAGATATGCACTGCTTTCTGAGAGACTAAATATGGCCTGTAAGGCCACATTCTGACATTCTGGTCCTACCACAATCCTCATTTCCACAACCATCACAAAATAATTACTTTTTTCTTGGTGGTCTCATCCATAGCATGATGGAACAGAATTCTCTCTTCCAAAGGCTCACAAAAATCCAAAAGCTATTTCAAACGAAAATGCCTTTATTTAGAGATATTAAGAAGAACACTATAATAGTTTTAAACTTTATTTTCCTTTCTACCCATCTTCAAATGCAGCCTAGCACTGTCACAAATTTCTTATTAAAAAAGTTTTAATTGAAGAGGGCATATATAGACTATTTGTCATTCCCATTATGTCAATATATAAAGAACTATCGAAGGTTTATGTTACAAAATGAAACTGTGACATTGGAAAAAAAAAAGGGGACTTTTAAATTTTATAACAGAACAGTAGCATAATCTATTATAAAGTTTCGGGATCTACATCACTAGGAGTTTTTGAGAACACATGAAAAGTATCTGTCAGGAATGTTTGCTGAATGAAGCAAAAGACCAGCTTACTAGCTGTGTTTTTGAATCAAGTAAACATATACTTCTGGTTCCTTTGTTTTCATTTGAATCAAACACATCCAAGAATGACAATCCTTAGAACAATATGATCTTGTATTACAAAATAAAATACAGTGATTAATACTTTCAGAAAAAATATTGGCCATTTCAATTAATTGCCTATCTGTTGGAGAAACAATGTATCAAAATGAATAATCCTTCAGCACTTAAAAAAAAATTACAGAGACTTAAAAATAAGAGTATTAATAGAAAGTTCATCTTCTACATGCATTTCCTTGTGTTTAATCCACAGAAGCAAGCTTGTTTTTTTTCAGTTTAAGACTACATCAACATCAGTGCCATGAAAGGTCACATCTGTAGTCTGGTCTATCTATTGATTATCTCTTTCTCACACTGTTAAACACCGTCACTTCTTGACAATTTTTTTCTTTTGAGCATATACCTGATGCAGCTCTGCATAAATGAACATTCCTGTCCTGTGAAATTTCTTGCTCTCCATCTTGCATATCATTGGTCTTTCCTTCCAGCAGTAAAAATACACATGTCCTAGGGACATTTCAAACTGAAAGATAATGTTTCACTCAGAGCTGTACTGGCTGGAACATTAATGACTGCTCCAAAGACACAGGATTCCTGCTGGTGATGGATCCCCAGGGAATATGGCTGGTGGCTGTACAGCTCCTCTTGGACAGACTCGCTGGGTTTCCTCCAGTATGACAGCTGCTGTTCCATGTAACTGTTGGGAAAGTGATGTGAAGCTGGTGATATCCTGAGCCTTTTTCCTCTGGGCTTCCAAAGAGAAGAGAACCTTCAAGTCAAAATGTAATGAAGTTGCCACTGTATTTATTGAAGTTACATCCTTTAGTAACTTAAATTAACAAAATTTATTGACATTTTCTGATGATTCTTATTCAGACACTGTAGGCTTATACAGTTCACACAAAAATAATTTTCATTGTTTAAAAAACAACACAACCTGAATGGTTGATTTTTACTTAGAATATCACTAACTCATTTCTTTTGATGATTTCATTCAAGGGGCAGATGTCAGCTGAGTCCAGATTTCCAACAATATTGTCTATATTGAAAATTCTTGTTGCATGCTAAAGATCCTTAACAAAAAAAATAGGATTCAGGAAGGGAGGACAAAAGCACATTTAGCTCTAGCAGTGCATCACACTGCTAAGGTTGTTCCTGGTTAGCGACTGCAGTACATTTCACATCCTGACAACACTTTAATATATATGGATCATTTTAAAAGGGAAAAAAAACAAAGCAAACCAAACAACCAAAACTTTTCTGTGTTTCACAATCTGTCACAATTATGTTCATCATTGTCTAAAGCTTTCTGAAAAGAAATAGAATTTAGGGGATGCTGTCACTATCATTATCTATTCAATTCTGTAGGATTAGTGCAAGAACAGATAAAACTAAAACCTATCTCTGCTCCTTGAAATTTGCTACCAGTGAGTAGTATTCTGGTTCTTATACCTGTACAGAAAACATCCCTGGGTCAAGAACAATTGGTCCCTCTACAGCTTATTTTAAGCATAATTGTAAGTCCTCTGTCTCTTCCACTGTGTTTTTCAAAGATATACATAATATATACAGATATATAGAGAAAATATTTTTTGTTTCATACTTGAGGGCAAAATCAAAGCATCTTTCCAAGTCTTTCATCAGCTGGGAAAGTATCTGGGAATCTTTTATCCCACTTTACCTTTTTTTTGTTATTGTTGTTTTTAGGATTTTTATATACTCTTTGATTGTATCCAGGGTTATTTTTTTCTTACCAAAATACAAGGACCTTCCACCTCATCTGTTTTCAAATTCATTTTCTGTCATGAAGCATGACAGGCATGATCAAAGTAGCTTGTCCAGGCTGTAGGGGATATTAGAATAGTTTCATGATTTTCACCAGCCCTGCATGGGTAAGGTTGTGGCTGAGACTTCAGGTTTGACCCTCATCTTGTCTGGCTGTTCATCAATATAAGCTTCTTACACTGCATCGTCAGCATCATCAACACATTTACCTTAGTGCAGCACCATGGTAGAGCTGCCTCTGATCTCCAGTGTCCAAAATTAAAGAATCTGATTAAAAAACACAGGCCAGATGATTACTAGTCCTACCATTTTGGGGGATTGAGGTAGTAGGTCTGGGAGCTAGGTATTAAATAAACAACCTTGCCTTTGCCACAGGAGTGAAGGTAGGAGAGCACCAAATGCAATCTCATTACATAGCCTGCTCCAGACTGTTGCAGGAAGACAATACTACTAGAAAGATAGATAAAATTTCCACATCTAATGGTTTACATCAGCTTTTACTATGCTACTCTTCCATTTATTCTTTTCCTTTAGAAATGTATAATGGCTCTTCCAGCCATATTAATTCAGTGGGTTCCACTGCGGGTTTAATGAGAATGTTGACATACCATATGGAACAATGTGACTTTTGGGAAACATTCTTGCTTTGCTGGTTCAAGGCTAACATAACTTAAAGGGCAGTACATCAGAATCTTCCATGGAGAAAACAGCTCAGGGTCTGACTTCCTTTGCAAGCTGAGAGACTAGTCCATTTAGATTAGAATTAAAACCATTTTGAGTGTGGAATACACTTTTATTTTCTATCATGTTAAAGGTTTCACTTCCATTTTTCATGTGAGGATGAATTATAGATAGACCTGTCCCACAAATTTTATGAGCAAACACTCCAGCATCCAAAACATTCTATTAAAAAACCTATTTAAATTTTAATTTACTTTGCTGGTATAATCTGCTGAGCAAACTGTTCAGCTGATATCAGGAATCCCTAAAAGGTCATATTCAGGTCTGAAATAATGCAACATAATTATGTCTGTTACTCAAGCTTATAAAAAGACAGGTCAAGCCAAGAAAAGGAGAAAGTAAGAAGATCCCAACAAATGAACTCTAGGCTTCTAGCATGAAATATTTTATCTCATGTACCAGATGATGAATTTGGAAGCCAGGACACACACTACTATAAGCTTAATCCACCAAGTGAGTACATGGCCCCTGTTAACTCTATTAAATGTTTTGTAAATTACAATGAGGTCTTTGTTTTGCCATATCACTAAAAGGCTGCACCCTTAAAAATAGTCATTCTTTGGTTTAATATGCCACATTGTAATGAAAATAAAAAATGGGAAAAATAGGTATGGAAGGAGATTTAGTTCTAATTATGAAATAGGTGTTTCTTTGCATAGATAAATAGCAGCAGTTTACTGTTACATACCATCCCCAATGATAAGAGCAACCTCCCAGAAGCACCACTAACCAGCTGCATTTTCCTTTTCCTAAATCCAGAGCAAAACAAAATCGGTACAAATGTACTGATGAGAAAAATAAAATCAGTACAATAATTCAGGCTTTAAATGGACCTCAGTGCAGCTCTGTATACATACATATAAAGGTTTCAGGAAAAAAAAATGCAGTACACAGGAGAGAAATCAGCAATAGGAGAGAATGGGTCACAGTCTTTTAAACATGAAAATGCTATGGTATTTATAGTGCAGAATTACAGCATCACGGGGAGAGGTTGAAGACATTTTAATCACCACCCATATGTGAAATTTCAGGTTTCTAGAAGCAAGAAAACCAGTCCATTATCAAATATGTTCTTATCCATGACAATTTCATATTCTGGTTTTTTGTTTGTAAAATAATATAATTGTTACAAGATAACTAAATTGATAACTAATGGTTATTGGAGGGTGTCACTTACTTCACAGCACTCCTGTAGTTTATTTAAATTTACATTTCACATAAGTCTTCACAATGGGAGAAGTCTAGCATTTTTTCACATATGTTTATAATTTTCAGTATATTTTACTATATTTATATAACTGCTATTACCTTATGGAGACATGCAATCTGTTTTGTTTTTTTATTCATGATTGTATTAGCTTTGCAAAAACAGTGCCATGCACAAAATAAAATCTAACAAAAGAAGCCACCCTTCAACTGGATCACATTCAAATCACATGTTATTACACAGCGTAAAAACTAGACAGGTCACCTTCTAAACAGGTCACTGCATCCCTCAGTACAGTAATTGTACCACAGTCATATATATAAAATATATTGTAAATATGCAATCCTTTCCAAAATTAATATCTAGGAACTAAGAATATTATACACAGAGACCTATTTTGATAGCAACTAAAAGCAGGAAGTTTAAAATCCCCTCTTTATTCATAGAAAAGCAAGAGATTTAAATTGAAGGAAATAAAACACCTTTTGCCAGTTTGAGCACTTTCTGATAGCACTACTTGGCCTAAAGATCCATTCTCCAAAAGGAACAGGTAGAGAGAACAGGTAAGGTGGACAACACAAAGGAGATGAGAAATTAGAAAGAACTCTTATTAACACCATTGTGGTTTCTGAATGAAATTAAGGAGGGACTATGAAGCAATTAAAATGCTTTTGTACTTTAAGACATGCTTCTTTATATATGGCCATATCTCTGCTCATATGTCCTCAGGTTTTGTAGAGGGTTTCAGCTTTTTATTTTAAAATAAACTTCATATTTTCCAGAAAATATGGTGAGCATGTGAAGAGGACCATACTTGTTTCTGTATGAACCCATAATTTTCACCCTGAATATTTTTGAGGACTTATTTAATTTTTCTCTAAAAGTCGATTGAAAAAATGTTGTGAGTTCAAAGGAAGGTGACTGAAACAAAATCAAAGGAAATATGGGGACATTGTGTTAATTGGAAATACTATTTCACTCTTTTTTTCCTTAATTCATTTTGGGGTCACAGTACACATCCTACAGTTATATGTTTCAAGAAAATCTGCCATTGTCTCACTCATGATGCAGAATCCCAAAGGAGAAAAGTGAATAGGAATAAAAATTTATCAGTTTTTCTCCACCCTTCCAGTTTTATAATTCTTTGAATAGTCTGAATGGACAAAAGCACTGAGGCAGCTTCAAAGCTGCAGTAAAATTTAGCTCAAGAAATAATGAGATTCAGTTTTTCAAATTCTATATAAGAATAAGAGAGACTTACCTGAGCCAAAGATGTTACTCATTCTGACAAAGACACAAGAACAAAGATGATCTTGACTCATATTCTGACCCAAGTTTAAATAGAGAGCTTTAGCTTTTGAAAGTAAAAAATGGTTACTGATTTAAGAAAAATAAAAGAGAAAGAAAAAGTATATACATTTAAGGATAAAAACAACCCAGTAGGTCTCCAAAGATCATTCATTTTGTTGAATGTTTAAGTTCTTTAAGGAAAATGTAAATGTAACCCAAGAGCTTAAACCCAGTAATTTTCAAGCTTTCCATTTGCAGTCAGTCCAAAGACCAAGGAAGTACATGTTGCATGACCATTTCTTCAGCTTTATAAAGTTATTCTTTGGAAGGATCTTACATTTAAAATGAACAAACCTTTCATTTAAGAAGATCATATTACTGTAAATGTGTGCTGTATTTCAGCTTTTTTAGTAAATGAAAGCCACAGTCACAAGAAAGACTCATTTCACCTATCCAGAATATTTTTTTAAAAAATCATTTTTACAAATTTCTTCTGTCAATATTTAAATTGGAAAATTTAAATACTTATATTTGACTGGAAGCTAAATGTTGTTTCTGTTGTCAGCGGAAGCCTAATTGCTTGTGTACATTCCCCTCTGGTGGCAACTAGTAACTATTACAAAAAACAGGACACACTACAAAAGGGAAACAGAAATAAAAACTAGTTTTAAAAAAATCTTTATTTTGCATGGTAAGGCTCCAAACATTTAGAAAAAATGAGCTCCTTTAAATATTTAACAACTTCGCTACTTAACTTCATCTGATCTTCTCTCAAAAATAGCAAAAGAGAGAAGCTATACAAAAATAAACTTAGGATAATAGAAAACCTTATAACAGCCAACTATTCTGGAATATTTCTTATATTCTTACAGTTAACATTAAGGACACTTTTTAATAATTCATTAAATACTGAAGAGCAATGAAAAATATGAGGCTAAGAAGTAGTGTCTCCAAAAAACCCTTTGACAGTGAATCTCAAAAAAGTTAGCAATTACTTATTTGAGGATTATTTGCATAAGAGAAGTCAAAATGCTTATGTGCTACATACCTTAAAAAAGACTCAAACTTCCTTCTGTACTCAGTGGTACAGAGGGAATTATATTTCAATTATAGACAGTAGAGTCCTTTTAGCAGAACATATTGCAACCTGAAATACAGAAAAAAGGGTATTCATCAGGGGAGAAAGAGCCATAATTATGTCAGCAAATGTTAGTGTGGGAGGATTTCCTGGACCCTTAGTGTTTGATTTGCTTTCAGCATCTCAGGAAAGCCGAGACCCTTGTGCCCTCTGTCAGTGTCCCATCAGGGGGACTCTTCACTGAGCAGTCCCACTGGATCTGAGGGTGCTTCCACTGGCTCAGTCAGGGAAACCAGCAATGCAGATCCCCAAGAGTGTGTTACCCACTGCCAGAGACACACTGACAGTTTATGGAGCAACACTCTGTATTGGTGTAAAATCACTTAAGGTTCAAAGGCTGTCAGTGATAGCGTCTGACTGGAAAAATGTACTCAAAGTAACACACAGACAAACTCTAATTGCCAATAAAATGTTCTGCCCGCAGAGAACATGATTCTGACCCAACAGGTGTCCCTGTGGGGGAGAAGACAGGTTCAGCCCATTGACTGACCCCAGCAGTTATGCTGGGCTCTTTTCTACCTTTTCCCCCACTGTCAACTTACTCTTGCACTATTTCTCTGTGTTTATGTGGAGCTTGAGTGGCTCTAGTCATTCATCCCCTTGTTACTGATTGGTGTAAGATTCTCTCACTTTGCTTTTAAAGATACTGCTATATCTTGAGAAAGTTTATATTGTGCCAGTTGCCAGGAAGAGTAACAACACCACAGGTCTTCATTATCCTGTACAAGTAGTATTCACAAGTAGTGAATACTGCCAAAGACTGACTAACCATGTTCTTACTGAACAACCCACTGTTAAACCCCCAGGTTGTGATCTGCTGTGCTCTCCATGGATCATTACATAGAGACTCTTTTTTACTTAAATGAGTTTTTGATGCTTCTCATCTAATTGTAGTGTCAGATGTGGTTATTATACACTGTTGTGGACCATCCCCAGTCATACTGCATGGACCTAACTTCTCTCATTCATATGGTCTTATTCATATTTTTGTTATTATTCTGTCTTCTTCTGTGGTATGATATGCATACACACAATTTGCACCTGCTTAGTATAATGCCCATAATTTCTCCTTGTGGGAAAGGGCTTTATGTAAGTTTCCTGCTTTCTTCCCTTGTTTTTATACCTGAAGCATTTGCTTCCATGGTTTTCATTCAAAATTTCAGTATTCTAAACTATCTTGCCAAAACAGGTAGAACAAAAGAATTTAGTGATATGCTGCATTTGGCTAATCGTTACTGTCATCAATCAACCTACAGAAATCAGATATATTTAACTGCCAGGATGAGCTGGGTGTGCTAAATGAGGTACATAGCTCAACCTGCAAGTAACTTTTGGCTTTGTCTTTATTCTCTATTTTCAGCAAAAATCACAAGGCTTCTGTGTATTGTCTGTTGGTCCATAATTATTTTTTCATTAGACTTATATTTAGCCATTGTTGTAACTTTCTCGTATCAAAATACAAAGCTGCATGCCAGGTACATGGGCACATTGCACAGCAGACTTTCTTCAGTTAGGTATGATGCTCCAATGTCTTTGTGATTTTATAACTGATGGTTCTGCAAAGTGTAATCAAAGTTTGCTTTTCCACAGTCATAGGAATTCCATTTGACACTCATTAGGCTCCATTTTGGAGGGAAACAGCAGGCAGTAGTACCTTTGGGAAGAACTAGTTAGTGTTTTTCTCAACCCTTGATAAATTAGGGAGATGGCCAATCATCAACTGTATGAATTTTAATTTGGGCAAGTGTTGCATTCTGCACCTTGGGACAGTGCAGCCCTAGTTTCTTGTACAGACTAAGGAGCAAGAGGCTGAAGAGAAGTGCTGTGGAAAGGGACCTGGGTGCTCTGGTCGATGGCAAGTTGAATGTGAGAGAACAGTGTGCCCTGGCAGTCGGGAGAGCCAAGTGTTGGGATACTTTAAGCATAGCACTGACAACCGGTCAAAGAGGAGACTGTCCTGCTCTTCACACTGATGCAGGCTCAGTTTGAGGACTGTGTGCAGATTTGGGCAGCACAATATGGGAAAGACAATAAGCTATTAAAGAACATCAAAAGGTGGGCCATGAGGATGGTGAAGGGTCTGGATGGAAAGCTTTACAAGAAGAGACTGGGTTTGCTCAACTTACAGTAGAGGAGACTTCATTGTGGTTTTCATCATTCTCACAAGGAGAAGTGGAGCAGCAGGTACGGATCTCTTCACTCTTGCCATCAGTCACAACACTCAAGAAAAAGGCATGAAGCTTAGTCAGGGGAGCTTAACACTCAACACCAGGAAAGATTTTTCACCTGGGGGACGACTGAGTACTGGAACATGATTTCCAGGGAAATGGACACAGCACCAAGCCTGACAAAAGTCCAAGAACATTTGGACAATGCTCTCAGCTTATGAGGTGTTCTGCACAGGGCCAGGACTTGGACTTTAACAATACTGATGGCCCCTTCCATAGCAACATATTTTATGATTACATGGTTTCTGTCTCCTTCTGACTCAGAACTTTTAGGTTACAGGGTAATGGTGTTCTGCAACAATTTTGTTCAAAATGTCAATGAAATACCTCATTAAAACAGGTCCCCAAATATACATACTTTCTAGATCTTACTCTTACACTAATCTATTAGTATAACATATCTGTATTTGGGTTTGGAGAACTACACTGAAATCAAGATTATTTGGATAATTATAAAATTATGAACATCATTATAGTTCTCATTTGTGATGAGCAGTTCAGAACACTGCCTTAGTTAACATGAGGACAAGGTTCATATTTTCCTATAATACAATTCATAACTTACCATTTATGAGAGAGGAGTCAAAGCACAATCATTAAGTTCTTCAACTTCATGAATTCCAAAAATTCACAGAGGTGCATTTTCAAAATACCTTAGGAAAACCCATACTTAGCATCCCTTCTAAAGGGAGGAGAAATTAAGAAAACCAGGTGGTAAAAAAAGGAATTTTTTTCCCTTTCATCCCAGATGGAAATAGAAAATTGCTGTCCTGTGATTCTTCGTGTATGACCTGTGAGAAATCTGCTGATGTGTGTACTTCATGTCCAGAAGGTAACATTTCAGCTTCCTTGGATAAGTGACTATAATATTTCATATCCTATATGCTTCCAGAGGATGTTTTTGTCAGTGGTCACTACAAAGTCCCAGCTTCAAGGGCAATCAGACAATCAACAGTTGAATACAGGCAACGGGCATGTCCTTTGCAATATGGGTTAAAATGTTGATGGTGTTCCTTTTCTTTCCTTTTAATTAAAATTTGTAGATATGATGCAGGAATTACTGAATAGGGATTTCTTCAGCAAAACATACTAGATAATCCTGATGATTCCTTGTAAACTGTCAATGTCAGTGAAGTCTGAGCAAAATATTTTGGGAAATGTCTTGAAGAAAGTATGTTTTATTCATGCTTTTAAGAACCAAAGTTGAATTTTGCTAAGTTTTTTTTTGTAGCCATCCAAGGCAGAAATCTTTTATATGTATTTCTAATTGATGCCTTTACCCCCCTGGGTTGCTCTTCTGCCAGGAAAATTTCTTATCCATGACACCTGTGTTTCTCTGTGCCCTCCAAAATATTTTGGCAACACTGCAAGTGGAAAGTGCGAGATGTGTGGGGATGACTGTGAGGTGTGCTCTGACCAGTGGCACTGTCAGAAGTGTCAGGCTGAACGGAACCAGCTGCCCTTCCTCCACAAAGGCAGATGTTTACAGGAGTGCCCTGAGTAAGTAACCCCTCTTACATCATCCTTGTTTTTCCTCTGTGCTCTTTCTCTTTAGAAGTTCAGATCCATTATTAAACTTTCAAGGAAGATCTTAAATAATGTAAACTACCAGAAACTAAGGAAAATGTAATTTTCAGACTGCCTGAATAAACAGTATTTTCTTTTGGTTAGAGAAAAAGTAAAAAAATCAAAAGTGAATGTAAGACATTAAATCCTATGAAAGATGGAACAGCTCTCAATGACTTTAATAGAAACATGGTACTTCATGGCAAATGATAATAAAGGTTTTAGACATTCTCCAGTTTGTTCCTTCCTCCAAGTAGTACAGAGCAGAGATATAAACCCAGGTAGTGAATGTATTAGAGTCCAGATATGTAAATACAGTGATTAATGAAGTGTGTTTCTCTCTGTGGTCAATGTTTATTTTTATGTATTTTTATGTGTAGAATTTAAAAAGATTCCCATTTGACTGCAATGGATATTAGATCAGGCACATGAATAGATAAGGTTCTCTCTTTTCTTTGTTTTTTTCATCAGCATCCATCTTATGTATAGATACATAAAACCAATGCTATGCAGAAAAAAATAATACTTGCTTGGTTAACGTTTTTTCTTCTGAAAAATGTGAAGCTCCTGCTTTTCTTGCAATGTCTCTGCCACTGCCTTCCTGGTAATTTTGTCAAATAAATCAATGAGAGTCAGTGGAACAGGTTTTCTTCGTGAAATGTCACACTGAGTGCAAGGTAATTTCAGTAAAGCCTGATCTAGTCCAGAAACAACTTTTAATATTAGAAACTGAGGCAGAAAACCATTAATTGTGTTTTGGCATTAATATGTCTCTTGTCAGTACTAATTTCCCAGGTACCCTACTCAAAATCAGTATAACAAAATTAAAACTTTTTATATAGCACTTTTCTTTACAGATGTTCTTATCTCCCTTTTTTCCCCAAATTCAAGACTGTAAATAATGGTTTCCCATCACTGAGCAAAATTCACAGGGTTTAAACTCCAGTTTAAACTGGAGAAACCTTCAGATTCTGAGGTAAAGTTCTTGGGACACAACTACTCTCCACTAGAGCAAAAAATGAGACTATTAAGAGAGTTGTCTTGGGTTTTGGGACATGTTTTTAAGGGATAAAAATGTTTGACTGACTGCACAATTAATTTCTGACAGGAATTTTGAAAGACTGGGCAAACCGAGTACTCAACATTAGAACAAGAAAAGGTGACAGGACTGTGATAAGTAGTTGCAGGACCTTGACAAAAGTTGGAGGATAAAAAAAATGAGAATAGGTGGCAGGCATGGCTCCTCCTACCTTTTCTCTAACCTTGCTCGTAATGCATCTCCCCAGAGTTTCTTTGGAAAGATCATGTCCAAGGGAAGAGGCACCCCTGTATAAGGATTAACCAATTTTGCTAGAGTAAAGTACATATTCTGGGAGTACTTTCTATCTCAACTTCTTCTTCAGTTTTCATCAATGGCTCCATGGATTAGCAATCATGTCAAAATGTTAACTTTTCCTTTAACCTTGTAACAATCTAGTTTTGAGAGTGTAGACAGATCTAATTCAGCATCTCTTGTATGCATCTTGTATGCACCTGAAACAGAGGTGAAGATTTTTTGCTATATTTATGACTACTACTCCCAGCTGTGGCTGTCCATGTTTTCTCTCACACCACAGAAATCAGCAAAATGTTCTTCCTCTTTGCCATCTCTAGCCTGCTCTCAGTAAGGCAAGGTATTATTTAAATATCCTGGGGTTTGGGGGTTTTTTTCGATCTCTGCCCTCATTCTTTCTAGCTTTCACATTTCCAGAGCTGTGTCTTCTCCTTCTCCTCTCTAGAGCCACTGAGGTTACCATTCTCTTTTTTTCCTTCATATCAGTATTGCAGGTCAGCTGCACAAGACTAGAAACTGCATGCTTTCCCAAATGTTATATATCTACCTTACGTAAGGGGAAAATAAAGACAAAAAAGTACAAAAAGAAAGGAAAGCCCTTCAAATAGCACTAACCACGTACATTTTCTACTTTCAGACACAGGAGATGTTAAGAGGAAGATGGGCAAAAAATTGTATGAGAAACATGTTTGATCTAGTGAAGTGTGTATGCTCAGAGTATCTCATTTAGGGCTGTAATTTTCATAGCCTGAAGTAACCAGCAGTTTGTTTTGTGTTTTTTTTCATTCCATAGGGGATATTTTAATGATTCGGAGACTTGCAAGGAATGCAGTGGATCCTGTAAGACATGCATGGGAAGTGCAACCCAATGCCTGTCCTGTAAAAGTCCTTTGCTTCTGGAGCACTGGGAATGTAAATCTACTTGTTCAGAGAAGCATTTTGCCTCTGAAGGAATCTGTAAACATTGCCCTGAAATGTGTCAGGAATGTATTCACGATGAAATATGCACAGGTATTACAGAGAACCGCTGTTCTGTAGAATAAAGTCCACCTGGGTCTGTCTGGACTGACAGAAAACCAAGTCCGAATTCAGTAATGTACAAAAAAAAAAAAAAGAAAAAAGTGATGTGCATATCATTGATATCATTGTTAATCCCTCAAATAGATTACAGTGAGACTAATGATTACTCTGTAAAGATTTCACATTGCTTTGCCTGGTTCTGTGGTTCTTCAGAAATTCCTGCTGGCTTTATTTTATTTTTGATCTAGTGTACCCAACCTTAAAAACTTGTGCACCAATGTGAAACACAGAATGTTTCTTTTCTAGCTTAGTTGAATTTCACAACTCTTTGCCATTTTTGCAAATGACCACTCCTGTTAGAGAAAGAAATCCCTATAAAGAAAGATATTAGGAAATCCTAATAAATGCCCTTCCCCCCCACCAAAAAAAATGCCTCCCCCAGGTATTAAAGGTAGTTAATATTGAGTGAGCCATTCTGGAAACATACGCATGAACGAAATAAAAAAACAACAATCAACCAACCAAACTGTAAACAAATATATTAAACCTAATACTCATAATAAAATAGCAACTTATTCACAGTTCTAGACAAGAACAGACATTTTGGCCAATATATTCTAACTAAACTCATATTTCAGTAATAAACTACTCAAAACTTCAGATATGTACATTCTTGATTTTGCAGGAAGTTAATAATGCAGAAAAATGGCAGAAAAAAGGCCATCTATATTTTAACATCAAATGGCTTGGTTAATATCAAGCCATTTATTATCAATATTAAGGTAAGCAAGTGACTTTTTCTCACAGTTTCTTGCTGTAACACAGAAGACACCATTTGAGGGTTGGGCCAAGGTAGGTCTTTTGGAGGGGAAAGATTTGAAAAAGGAAGTTCTACCTTCTCAGGGTGTTTTGATGACTTCTGTAATGACAGACAATCCAGAATTTACTGTTTCCTTAGGACTTACCGTCTCTCGCACTAGGTTAGAATTTGCTGCCTATTTGCTTACCTATGTTCTGCTGTCCCCTGTAGAGTGTATGGATGAGTTTTTCCTGCATGAGGGGAAGTGTGTTCAGGAATGCCCTTCACACTTCTACCCTGAAGACAAGCACTGCTTTCCCTGCCACGCTGACTGCAAGGACTGCAACGGGCCGGATTCTGATGACTGCACAGCATGCACTTTCAGCTTGTTTGTCCTCTACAATGGCATGTGTTTTGAAGAGTGCCCTGAGGGGAGTTACTATGAAGAAGCCACCAAAGACTGCCAAGGTTGGCAGGTGTTGTTTTCTCCAGGAGAGTATTCAGATACAAGTGGGTCTGTTTAAAGGTCACCCACTAAGGGCCTGCATGTGACAGCTAATGTCATTGCCGGTGTCTTGGAGTTGAAGAGGATAGCTAAAGCAGAAAAATAATTAGGTTTATTGTAGAACAGCAAAAATTGAAGAAAGGAGAGAAGGAGGTAGCCAGGACACATACTTATTTTTACAGGCAATCACTGTGGTAAAATGCTGAGGATGACTGCAGAATTGCTGAGAATTGCTGGAGACTCCATTCACTGTTGCCAAAACAGTGCTGATGCAAAAGAAAACCTAAGGAACTACTTGAATAATATTGAAAATTAATTCCCTCAGGTTTTCATCCTGAGATTACAGGTGCTCCTTCAAAAATTAAAATAGTAATAACACTGACAAATCCAGAAATGGTGAAATTCCTGTTTGTCCTTTTCAGCATGCAACAGGACATGCCAGACTTGTTCTTCCACTGTCTGCCTAACTTGCAGAAATGGATGGATATTGAACCATGATGGGCACTGTGTGTTATCTGGATACTGTTCTCCCACTGAGTACTACATTGAGGAAATTCAGACCTGCAAATCTTGCCACAAGAAATGCTTCCACTGCTCAGGACCCACTGAACATCAGTGTCTTAGCTGTGTAAATAACCGATACCTTCTCAGTAAGTGTTTCTCTCCTGCCTCTAGATTTCAATCATGGAATAGACAAGTTTTCATCACATTTGCAAAGCATTTGGACTGCATCAACCAATCTAAATAATCTAAGGAGGATGTGACGAGTAGCTAAATTGTGTAGAGATAATTTCTTCAGCAGGGCTATGTGGAAACTCTGTGAGGCAGGGCTTGGGACTCACAGGAGCTAATGCAGTATTTCTAAACAGCAACAAACACCATGACTGAATGAAAAACCCTCATATGTTTCATTTACTTGGTATATACTTTTCCTGTTGTTTTCTACAAAGACTTTAAAAGAGGGCTATCATTAGGTTTGTTGTTGTTGCTGCTGCTGTTAATGTATCCATAAAAGGTGCACATTTTCATGTTGGCTTGTTTAATCCCTGCAGAAATCTGATTAACAGAGGAATACTTAAACATCCTTTAAAAGGGATCACTAAATCAGCATCTAGTGGGTGGCCGAGGTGCAAAATTACTTTCCTGACTTTGGAGCAAAGAGTAGGTTTAAGACTATACAGTCTCAGAAACAAATAGGAAAAAGTTTTAAAATCCCCACACTGAAACATTTCTTCTCTACATATTCTTCTAAAAGAATTTTGATAATCATTGGGAGAAAAAAATATTAAATAATACTTCAATGCAGGAAATATCTAAAAAACAGTGTAAATTAGAAGTGAACCTAAGCTTTTTGAGTCTAATTCTAATGCAGATTTTACATTCCTATATTTCTGAGGCCTTGCATTAGACCTACCTTTTTTATCAACACATTCAGCTGTTTTGCACCATTATAACTGGTAAAGTTGATGGACAAATGCAAATAAACGTACTGAAACTGAGATTAAAATGCAAAAAACGCCAAACCTGAAACTATCTTCCTTTGTCCAATTGCAACCCAAGCAGCAAAATTATCAAGACAAATATGTAATGAGCACAAACAACTTGTAATTTACTGCTTTATTAGCTGTGTGCACTTGCAGCTAATTACAACAATACTAACTTCTCATTCAGGATTCCTTCTATAACGACTGAAATTTCACTGAAAAAAGTGGGACTTACCTGTTTTTGCAGCATTAAAGACATTTAATTCCATAACATAAAGTAGAAGTCGCAGACAAGGGTAAAGACCAGTAAACAAATAGCATTAAATCTCAAATCTATCATCAGATTCATCATCCACACAGAATGAAATTAGATTGATGCTTAGAGTGAAATCTAGGGAAAACAGCAATGCAGATAAAAACTTGCTTTGCTACTTTTGATTATTCTAAGGAAATCACATCTGCTGTTCATTATTATGCTACTTTATTTTTCAGAAAGATAAAAACTTGCCAGTCCTGAAGAACTTGCTAATATGCATAAAACACAGAAAGGAGGATTAATGAAATGACAAGAATAAAAAAAATAATTACTGTACCCCAATACTGGATTTTCTTGTTCTGATACATTATCTATCAACACCTCCTGCTGATACAGTTTGCTCTAGTACAGCTGCATGAGATGTTTTATAGTAGCAAATACTGAAATATGATGTGTTACTTTGCATTGTTGTCTCTGCAGACAGAACCTGTGTTGAAACATGCCCAGATGGATATTATGCTGACAGCACGGAGAGGCAATGTTTTGCATGCCACAGCACCTGTGACACTTGCACTGGAAAACACAGCTCACAGTGCCTTTCCTGTAAATTGGGTTGGTACAGACAGGGAAAAGGATGTGTAACCCAATGTCCAGCAGGGTAAGGCCCAAGACCTTTTGCTAAGATCTGTATCACAGAGAGAGCTTTGAGAAATTAGATTACTGCAGCATTCCACATCAGTGTGAAATAGAACTGAGCTTTGGTTTCAGGAGAAAATTTCTTGTATTTTCACAATACATTAGGGATGGAAAACCTCCCTCCACAGTAGAAAACTCCAAAATTGGTGCCCAGATGGGAAATGCTTAGATGTGGATATGCTCACACTCAGCTGATGCTCTTGGCTATCTCTAAACATAACAATATAAACCAGTATACTAAGTTATATGTCAGTCAGCCTGAGCACAGGCAGAAGAGCCTCCAACCATCACTGTGGCCTCCACTTAACATGAAATTAAGTGAAGTTTGGATAAGGTTATATATATTTTTTTTGCATTGACTTAATGCTTATAGTGGGTGATAACAAAAACAACCATTAAAACAAGTTTGAACTGAGCACTCATAATTCTAGAGAGAAACTCTAATCCATTTAAGTTCAAAATGTGAATTCAGTGTGCTTTTGGGAAATTCAAATTTAGAAAGTGAACCTATGATTTCTCTTTCAGATCCATCTAATTTAAAACTAGAGTTCAATGGATCACACTGGCTGCCCAACCCATTAAACTGGAAAACTCTAATGACCATATCTCAGCAAATCCACACAAACCGTCCCTACTTCAATACTTTATATCTCAATTCAACTCATATTTAAGAAATTTTTGCTGAGTTATGCTTTGTAGCTGAATTCCAATGGCCAAAGGGAATGAAATTAATTCTATTTTCACTGAGCTTACCTGTGTTCATTTTAGTATAATTTTTATAAATAGAGGTAATCATGGTAAAAAGCTAGGGATTCAACAAATGTTTGTTTTCCTGTCACTGCTGGCCTTTATACAAAGCTATGCCTATCTGACGTATTTCAGGTATTTCGCACAAAATTCCACTGGATCATGCGAGAGATGCCACAAGAGCTGTAAGGAGTGTATAGGGCCTCGACCCACAGACTGTCTTTCCTGTAACACGTATTTCTACCTGTTGCATTCCACAAATGAATGTGTTAGCTCTTGTCCTCAGTACTACTATGAAAACAAGGACAACAACGTCTGTGAGAGATGCCACTCTTCCTGTTTAACTTGTGAAGGTAAAAGTGTATGTTCTGCTTTGACCAAAAAAAGGGGTCATCAAAACACCTGGAATCTTGGCTCCAAGATCTGGGAACACTTCACAAAGATACTAACCACATACAGTGCTACCAACCTGGCTACCACTTCAGCCACAGTGGGTGATGCTGACCTCTCCTAGGAGCTGCTGAGCTTTTCCTGGCTCTTGTTGACTTGTTGCACTCACTACTCCATTGATTTATTTCTACTGCATTGATAATTGAGGCAAAAGCAAGTATATTAATTCCTGTCAAGCTTTATCCAGAACTGATTCCAGCACAGAGCACAAAGAGAAAGACACCCACTTAATAGGGAGGGCTAGGGCTGAATAACATGTTGCGAAAGTCATTGAATGGAAAAAAATGGACAACAGTAATGAATTTTCCATCAGCCAGACCTCATAAAAATGCACATCTTAAAAAAATGGGCTCACTTGATTACAGAGATGGAGTCCATTTTTCACATTAATATTAAGAATTACTGAAAAATACCTCACTCTTTGAGCTGTTCTACTGTCTGCTATTCTGTGAAAGGCAAGGAACTTAATTCCAACTACAACACATCTTTACAGTCTACAATGGTAAGAGTAACGACCTATAAAGTGTATCTTTAGGTTGAAAGGTGAACAGAAATCAAAAGCACAGTGATGTTGCTTTTAATATAGTTATGTATTTCTCAATGTTAACTTTCAGAGACTGTCTATTTTGCTCTGTGAGATGCTGTTTTTGGTTTCTCAATTTTCCTAATTAAACAACTTCTGAAAAAACTTATGGACCCATTTGGTGTCCTTTTTTACCTGAACAACATGAGATTATAGCTAATGGGTTCCATGCTGCAGCTTAGAAGACTACATCACATTGTAACACACAAACCATTTTTGGATAGTGGATATACTGGATAGTACAGATGGCTAATTGTAACATAATAATATATGTGAAAATTACACTTAGAATGAAATTATTTGGCATAAATACTATCAGATAGAATTTTTATCATCATTACCAAGAGAGAATTATAATACACAAGCCAGTCTGAAATGCATCTGTATTAATGATATATCAGCAAAGAGCATGGTGTCTTTTTGTCAAGAGCAGTAAGGAAAACCATGCATTTCACAGTAATACAGGAAATCCTCTGTATTATAGGTTACTAATTTCAGTGGTTTAACTTCTGCTAATGTCAGTTCCTTGCATTTTCATTTTCTTCCTTTCAGACAATGACAGAAAATGTCTAGGTGCAAGGAAATGGATGGGTGCATCTTGACACTTAAGATAAACCCATCACCTCAGTGTTTCACAGAAATACTGCATGCAGCTTCTGTCTTTAAAAAAAAGTTTCTGGCACACAAGGTGCTTATGGTGCTCTGGCTGTACCTATGAATAATGTTTTTTTTCTCATGCACTTAAACAATTTATTTTTGTATTCAAACATTAACATATCTTAATTAATGGTTGTTTGAAAATAGTTAACAGGGTAAGTAAGTATGGATTTTGTGAAGGATAGCATTTGGTGAAGGTTCTCCACAATTTTACTCCAGTGTTCTGACCCAATTTATTTTCCTGAATGTCAGAGATCCTCTGTACAACTGATTCTGAAATCATCTTTTCATGATTATCAAAACACACAATAAATAAATTTTGTTTGCACATAAAGTCCCAGGACTAGGTGCAAGATTTTCTAACACCAACCTCTTTGTGTGGAATGCCTCACTAATGATTTTTGCCACTGACAAAAATCCTTTTGCTTCATAGCAGTGGTCAGTATAATTGTTAAAGGATGTTAGCTGACATTTCCTTGTTGTAATATTATTGTTTTGTTTGCCTGTGTAGGGAAGGGAGCATTCAGCTGCACATCTTGTGTATGGAGCTACAGTTTATTAAATGGAATGTGCAACTCAGACTGTTTTGTAGGTGAATACAAAGTCCAGGAGACACCAGGACAAAAGGTACCTATTTGAAGTCCTTTTGTACACAATATAAACAACACATTGCTCTTCTCTGAGTTTTTAACATTGCCTATCTTTAAATATGCTTACTTTTTTCCTCTTTTGGCAGGGGAAGCCTTTTTTCTCTTTCTGGGTTTACCTTATGGTCAACAAAGATATCACAACTATATGAACAAATCAGTTCCATTAATGATAAGTGTTTATTTCTTTCAGTATAATTGAGATTTCTCCTTGGATTTCTGATGCCTTTTCTGTAAGAAATCCTTCTGCATTTTTGATTGACAGCTCTGTTGGCAGAAAGCTCTAGTAGGACAGGCTGAAATTAACAGAGCTGTATATTTAGTTGAGCAGGGCCACAATTAGGTTTGGGTCTGTGCCATAAGTCTGGGTGCTCCACCTTTCAGTTTTCCACACCAATTGCCTTCTAAAGATGTTTATTCAAGAACATAGCAGCAAGGCATACCTGGGATGCTACAAACCCTGGAGTCTCTGTCCTAGAATATTTTCTTGACAGTCCCACTTCATAGCACTGAATCTGAAAAAATGGCCTTACTTAAGGCTGGGGACCACACAGGTCTGCAGGTCTTTGCAAAAGCTTTGACTCTTAAGAAATTATGAACAGCTATGATCCTGCAATCTTGCACAGGTTTTTCCATCCAGGATAAACAGTCTTGCAATCCTAACCACAAGTTTGGTGAAAGTTTATTGGAGTTTCCAGATCTTCACAGTGAACATGTCCCATGGCCAGGAACTGTGAAGACTGGAAACACTGAAGCAAGTGACTTCAGAGTATTCTGCAAGGCAGGTGCGATCACAGTGACTGCTGATAGTCTCTGTACACAAAGGTTCCCAGAAGCCTGGATTTTAGGAAGAGTATTTGAATCTAAACTGTTTCTGTAGAAAAAAAAAAGTGACACAATCTAAGAGAAATCTGTTTTGCTAAAAAATTCCCAACCACCTTTATTCCTTGCTTTTGCTTCCTCTCTGGGTATAGAGGAAATTCATACTTCATTTCATACTGCTTCTTCCATGGTCAGTTATTTTCCTGGCTCAAAAAGCTTAAAAGCATGAGTAAATTTGCACATCCTGCCTAGCTAGGTGAGATCTCCAAGGTCTTACAACACTTTACATCCTACAAGCAGATCACTGAGAAATCAGAAAATAGGAAATTTTGAATTTGCTGTTGTATTTTCATATTGACACTCTTGGTGCCCAGAGATGACAACCACAGTGGTGACTGACAGGACAGAACTGCCAGGTCAGGTCCAAAACACACAAAATTAGAGGTGCATTGCTTGTGTTCTGTGTTTGAAGGAGAACAAACCCAAGTGTGAGAGATGCGACAGCTCGTGCACTGAGTGTAAGGGACCTGGTCCTCTCAACTGCACAGTCTGCCCAGCCAGCATGCAGCTCTTCCTGGAGGAAAGCCGCTGCCTGCCCTGCTGCAGTGACACTGACCCAGCAGAAACCCCAGAGTGTTGTGACTGCAGTGAAACACAAGGTAGGACCATGCTGAAGAGCAGGAATAGTGCTAAGTGGTTTATGGTTGATTATGCTGACATTATGCTGCCTGAAAACTGGACTAGAGTGAAAATGTGCTATTGGTAAACAGTGTGTTTCTACTGCTTCATCAAAAATAGGGAAGGTTTTACTCAAATAATAACCATTATGTCTGGTGCTGGAGATGGCAACTTCTCGCACCCAAAGCTACCATGTTAAATGGCCTGGCATTTCATAAACTGACTGGTTGATCAACTAGCTTACTTCATTGCATTCATGCACCTGATAGTTTTTCTGCTTCTTGCTCATTATTTTGAATCAAATAATGAAGAATAGATATCCCAACAACCTTATTGACATCCTTACTACATAAGAACAACAAAACCACCATTGTGGTACCAGTAAAACTAGGTATTTTGTTGACTGCTATTACTGAACTGGACACACTGTACCAGACTTTTAAAACACTCACACACAAATACAAGCTCATTTCATCCTTTTTTTTTTTTATTATTTTTGTTTTTAATTGCTGTTGTAGATGACTGTGTATTACAGAAAACTCTACGCCCCGAGCAAAAAAGCAAAACTACTTTCTTTGTTATCACTTGCATTTTGCTTTTGCTTGTCATCGGAGCCACTGTACTCATCTGGAGAAAGGCAAAAACGAAAACCCAGCCTGTCAGTAAAGGACGGTACGAGAAGCTGACAAATCACTCCAAAACCTTTCCTTCCTCTGCAAGCAACTACGACAAGAATCCCAGCTACCAGGAGGATCAAGTGATTGAATACAGAGATCGAGATTATGAAGATGATGATGACGAAGATGACATTGTATACATGGGCAAGGATGGCACAATTTATCACAAATTTAAATATGGACTTCTGGAGGATGATGAGGAAGATGAGCTAGAATATGATGATGAAAGTTACTCATTTAGATAATTTTTACTAATTAGCCCTACTCTACTGCTTCTCCTATGAAAGTATAGCTATTTAGTTAATGTGTTTAGTTACTTGATAGCAACCTGACCTCCACAAGTTTTGCTATTATTTATTGTAAAAGAAGAATAATTTCTAGAAACTTATTTCCTAAATAAATATTTTCTAGGCTTTTAAGTAGCACTTCAGATATAATCTGGTTAAGAGACCAAATTTCTATGCATTTGTGTGGAGAATAATCCTTTCCCAATACGTATTTGTGTAACTAACACAAACTTTTCTTCAAACCATTTTGGAGAACCCTGCCAACCACTACTAGTAATGTGATAAGCAAGATGGTTGTATCTAATTGATTAATGCCACGGGAGAGGGTGCCAGTAGTTCGCTAATTTGTGATTAGAGTTACACAGCAATTCATAGCAGAATAGGCAACTTGGAGGAATTTATTTAGATTTTCTTCATAATCACCTGGCATTCCCTGAAACAAACACATTCAACTTCATAATCATTACAGCATAATTTCCTGTGAATTCCTGTATCTATGACATGATATTTTAGGACTTAGGATTGTGACTACTTCTCATAACTGTATTATATTCACAGTTTATATGAAATAGAACAAAAATATTTTATATATCAGCCTCTGATTAATCTTTATGCAGTGTTTGTCAAAAATTCTTGCGTTTTACAGATTAATTTCTCAGTTTACAACGAAGGGCAATACTGTCTATAAGCATGTCACATAGACACCCATCCTGCATCATCAGCAGGTGGTGTTTATATTGTAAATGGCTCAGGATGCTCAGACAATGGCAAAGGGGATATTTGCACTTTTCTGGTAATTTTTATTACTATTACAGAAATAAAAATTTATAATTCTAAAGAAAAGCATGGCCATTTTTTGTGAAGAATGAATTCTTTATCCATCTTAGATATGTTGTTATTCACTACATTTCATTAAATCTCAGAGTTTCTCTATGTTTCCAGTAAGGATCTGCTCTATACACAATAAGGTTGTATATATAAATTCAGTATTTACAGGGAATTGTGTATAGATACCAGCTTTTCATGGTTCAGTGCCTCAGAGGAATTTTCTGTATTACATATGCCTAAAGACCTCAGGATAATTCCACGGGTAAGATTAAAGATGTTTTATGGAGAGGCCTATTGCTTCCAATTTAATTTTAACCTTCTAGTCATTGCACCTTCAGTATGAGAGAGGAATTAAAACTAATGTGACTTCACAAAAGCTGAAACAAGTACCTAAGTATATCAAAAGCTGTAAAGCAACATTTGACAGCAAGGTACTTCAGAAAGATACATGTTATCTTTCACTTCTCATTCAGAAACTATTCCTCAAGAGTAACAGATATTAAAACTTTTCTAAATACCACACTAGCAAGTGCCACCTTCTGCTTTAATAATTTCTCTTTCATCTTTCTACTTTGTGTTTTCGGAGGATACATATTTCATATTACAATCAGACAGCAAGCCATGTGACCCAGCAAAAGAATTATTTTATGTGGTCTCCTGAACAACAACAAGCTCTGCCCTGTGAGCTGGCACATTCCTGGGGTTTTCTGGGTTTTCAATAAGCCTGTTCCCATGCACTGGGCTTCTCTGGACAGTCTGTGGCAAAAGATGTGGTTGCCAGTTTTTTTCCCTATTTGTTTTTCCATTCCAGAGAGTATCACAAATGGCACTTTTGTAACCCTAACATTAATGAGTCATAAGAGCTTATCTCTTCAAAGAAAGCACTGTTCACAGAATTGACAAAATACAGTTTTCCCTATATTTTAAACATTCAGTCATTAAAAAGCACACACACAAAACACATCCAGTTCACCATCATTTTATTTTACTCCATTTTACTCCATTTTGCACAATGCATTCTGTCCAGACCTCTAGAAAGTGAGGAAATTTCTTCATTTTTTCTCTTGAACAAACTTTAATATGCATATAAATACCTCCTCTAATTATGCAGCCCATTTATTTTAAGTAATTTCAACCATACCTGAACTCATTTTAATAAGTATTATAATGATATGTGCTACAGGGTTTCAAGATTGAACTCTGCACGGTAAGTTGCTTATGAAATGAGTGTGTAGCCATCAGAAATTTTGTGTTTATTTTTACTGGCTTACTGCTACTACTGAGCATTTAATAACAGATTACAGAAAACATTTTATGTATGAAGTATAACATCATTGTGAACTGGTACTACAGCAGCAATGATGGTGACCAAGAATTAGCAAACCTAAGCACTGCTGTAATTACATGTTCCCTTACGTGGAAGAGTTGTTACCTAAATCTCAACCTTCTTCCAAAACTACTTTTTTTGTCAGGTCACTGGAAAAATGGGAAATAGTATTTTTCTGTTAACTTCCTGCAAGCTTCAATTGTGTCGCTTCTGTGTACATTTTAGTTTTCAGTTCTCCACTCACTGATGTGCATTTACTTACAGAATCAAACTGCATTCAAGCAATTTTTAATTTATGTTATGCAAATCACACTATCATTTTTCAGAGAACTGCTCTACTCATAGGTTTGGCAAGAGGGTTTTTGTTTGTTTGTGTTGTTGTTGCTTTTGCAGTGGGATTTTTTTGTTGCTTTTTTTTTCCAATTTATGATGATGACCAGAGATCAGATTCTTCTTCACTTGTACACATGTTCAATTAGGAGCCTGTGAATATTATGGAATTTTAAACAGCAGGGTAAGTACCAGATCCAGAAGCAAGAAATTAGCAGGCAGACCTTGAAAACATGGGGAGTCAATCACAAGTAACACAGGAATGCTGATACAGTTAAGTACTTGTATAAACCACATGTAAGTTCAGACCTGTACTGGTTACCAACTTCTTGATTATACTTCAACTGCTATAAATTCTTTATCATGGATGAATGTGTATTCAATATGGACTTATATTACACACAGCAAATTTCTGTAACTGTAACTGGGACTTTACTTCACTAAATTTTATAATCTTTGCTTTTCCCTATAAATGGAAATTCCTATTGAGTTTGAATGCTCAATACTCTGTACTTTTGCAATCCACTAAATATTCCTTACATGCAATTATTATTTGCATACTACCCTTTCAGTATACACTTACTTAAACTTACAGAACAATAACATCTAAAACTCTAATTTTGTTTTGCTGACTAGTTATATAAAATGCTCTTGGCTTTCTGATACAAAGCAGTATTGCTTTGCTTTCACTAGGTTATATAAGAAAATAATTCTAACACTTGAAATACAGCATAATATTACAAATGCATATTTTTATATCCTCATTCATATGAAATCCAGGTTGTCTGTATCTACTTACCCAGCCACTTGTCAATTGCATTCTCATACTTTTTCCGATCCTTTAGCCAGTCTTGATGCCACCTAAGGTTTGCAATAACGCTTGAGTAATTGTGACCCAAACTTTGCTTCCAACTGATGAACTGTTGTTTGTTATACTCCTGAACAGCAGAAGAAACTTTAGGATAGTTAACTACAGAGCGAAGTATTTTGTCCAAGGAATGTACAGTTACTGGGAATTTTAAGGCAACATTTGTAAGCTCATCTGGATCAGCAGTCAGGTCTGTAACAACAAAAAAGTCAGTTAAGATTCAATTTGCAATAAAGTAAATTAATGAGTCAGTCAAGACATAGAAGTAGCATACCAAAGAGTTGGGGCGATACTGAAGAGCCATCCGAGTATGTGATGTATTTCCACTTGCCAGTTCTCAGCATATACACAGAGGAATTCACATTGCACCCATGAAATTCACTCAGCACCCATGAGGGCCGAGCTCTGCTGGCTGATGCTTCGCTCTCAGCATTTTCACATAGCAGCGGTGTAAGAGAATATCCACTTAGGTTCTGTGGGACAGTAATTCTTGCTATATCTAAGAAAAGATACACAAAACCAAAATGCTACTGCTGTTTTCACAATTAAAAAAGCCTAACACAATGCTACGAGGAATGTTGATAATAAAACATGATCCCCTAATTATTATCCCAAAATGTGCAATAAAAAATACCTTAAGGAAATTCCTAAGGCAAGCTGCCCACCATCTTGATCAAATGTATCATCTATGTATAACTCAACCTTTAACAGAAGTTTGTGAAAATGATCACCATAGTCTCCTTTGATGGATGGTGCTGTTTTACTCCTTAATCATGGTTGCAAACATTTCTCTTTTGCTCTGACTACATCAGGAAGGAGAAAAAGAGTAACACAGAAAGGACCCTAAAAGCTCCAGTGCTGGGGAAAAGGAAACAGGGAAACCTTATGAATACGACTGTTTAGCAAAAGATCCTGAAAATATGAAACCTAGGATTGAAATAGAATGGAGAACTAGCTTTCAGCTATAGGATACTGACTGTTAGTTACTATATAACCAAAGAACAATAGCCTAGCCAGCTGAAGGAGAATCCCTGTTGATTGAACAATGCCCTTCTGCTGAGAGTGAATCCAAAGGTCAAGCAGCAAGAGAAGAATTTGAAAGGTAGCTTTTAGAGTTTAAAATGCAACACTGTATGGTAATGTAGTAGTTCTTATAGGCTATGTGTAAATTCTATAGAATGTGTGTCATGTAGTGGTTGGTTACTGGGAATTAGAATATTCACTATAGAAAAAGACAAAGTACTGTAACAAGAACTTCAGTCTCTTAACTCATGCTCTCTTAACTCTGATTCCCTTCTCCCTACTCTCTCTCTTAAGCTCTCTCCCCTCTTTACTTGCCTTTACTTTTACCCTCTCTTACTTTTACCCTCTCTTACTTTTACCTCCTCTTACCTGCTCCTACTGTCTTAATTTCTTTACTTCTTTTCCCCTCTCTTACTCTTACTCTCTCCTACCTTCTTCCCTCATGCTCCCTGATTCCTCTCTCTCTTCCTCTCTGACCACATTTACGCTGTGGCTGGCAGTGTAAACGATCCCTTCCTCCCTATATCTAAATAATAAACTGCTTATACCTGAACAGCCTGATCCTGGAGAAGTCTCTCACTGCGAACATGTCTTTGTACATGTTTCCAACATGTTGTAACCATTTATTTCTTGAATAATAATGGTGCTAAGCTCATCTGGAGCATTCTTCATTAGTGAATAATGAAATGCTTTATAAAGGTATCCATTCTTATCACCTGTAACTGGTGATAATTGGCCTGGCACTTGAGGAGCAAGGCACCTTGCCTCTTTGGCAGGACTGGAGATAAAGGCGGTATTTGAGGTGGTATCAATATAGTGCTCATGTATGGAAAACACTGAATGACTCCATAGCGTACCAGATGGCCAATAGAAGATGCTGTAATATCCATAAGCTCCTCATCATCAACTTATCCCACAAGTTTCTCTAGCTCCCAAAGATCAGGTTAAAAGGCTGCAAAAATTTTTCAGAAGCGTGCTGAAATATACAGCTGAGAATCCCAAGCATGTCCTAAAAACCATGTATGACAGTACTGCTATTTTTAATCACCCCACTGAACATTGTCTATAGTAATTCAAAATTCAAAACTTTCCATTTCACAGAGCACTGTGGTAGTATTTATCTGTTCTGTGTTGGGTAGTGATACTCTGTGCATATAAATTGCTCATAGGTGACTCTTTCCTTCAGCAGCACACATCTTTCTTTTTGTCCTCTGTCTAGCTAGCATCTAAGTAATAGGAAGACTCATAATACGTAAGCCCAGCAAGTAGCTCCTGGGCATGCAGGGGCAAAAAAAATTGAGCAAATACATACTACATTCCAACAAATGAAAAAGGGATATGGGCTCTTCTGTCATTTTAAACCAGTAATGCTATTACTTGCAGTAACTGGATTCTCTATGTGCAAAGAACAGTCCTGCCACCTTCAGGAATTCCTGCTTTTCCAATGGAGAGCCAAAGGTACTTCCATACAGACAAACAAAGCTAGTGCTGCCTGGAGTTCATGCTACATCCTGTTACAAAATGTAAGAGCAGTTGCACTTCCGACTTTACATTTATATCACACAGATTCTGCTGGAATCAAAATATTTGCACTTATTGTCAAAGCCAGTGCAGGCAGCAGTCTTGAGCAAAGCATTTGGATGGCATCTTAAGACAGATTATTCCCCTGAGACAACACAAAGCAAAGCAATTAAATTTGTCAGAAAAATAGACTTGAAATCTGTTTCCTCATTAGTCAGCAGCAGCATGCAGACTGAGAACACAATACATGATAGAGATGGCTCTTCAAGTTTTCATTTTCATCATACATGTCTTTTTGACGTTTAGAGTACAGAAAAGGGGAACTGCCACAACAGAAGGAATGGATTATGCTCAGTAAGTTCTGGGGAAAAATAGGCCAAATGAAAAACCCCACAAGAGGAAAAGACAGAAAGATGTTAAACCATCTGACCAATTATGTCACTTGGACGAAAGGGAAAGAGAAAGAAAAGATTTTAAATCTTTATAGAGGCTACTATAACTTGTATAAGACTTATATCTAGTACAGATATATATACATAACAATTTGATGTCAAAATTTGGAAGAGAAAGCCATTCAGATTTTATATCATATTTTTAACTGGATAACTGGTTCAAAAGTTTTGAGAAGACATAAATAGATAAATAACTTCTGTTCGGTTGTTAGAAAATCAACTTCAGACAATACAGAAGTGGATTTTTCACTGACATTTACAACTAGTAACTGAAGTACAGTTTTATTCGCTCATGTTCTCCAGACAATTGCAGTGTACATGTGACACCTCTTAGAGAGCAAGCCTTCCAGACTGGTTTGAAAAGAATATTTTTTTCTGATTGGAAGCCTAAAAGATAAAGCCTCAAAAGATAAATTTACCTGATATTTAATATCAATCATAATAGTCTGTTGCACGATTTAGCACAAATATCTGTTCAAAAATTCCATCTTAAAAGTGATTTCCATCTAAGTAATTTTAGTTCTTTGATTCACTATCCAACACTGAGTATTTTTATATCTCATAATGATGGATATCCATTATCACATCTTTTTACTCTTGCTCAGATCATTTGTACATTTCCTATACAAAGTTTTCATCACACTTCTTCCACATGACCCTTCATAAAACACTTTAAACTTTCCTAAGTTAACGAACTTGTCCTCTTTCAGGTTTAATCCCATCTCTGGATGCACTTAAACTTTAATTTCTATAGTAAACTGTTGGGCATGAAGGTTAGCAAGGATTACTCACATCAAAAATGTGTTTTATTCCCTTTTGTTAGCAACAAATAATCCTATATATAATCAGTCAGTGTAATTACGTGGATGGCAGTAACAGTAATAACAAAGATTACAGGTTTATTTTTTCATCCATTTTTTTACTTTTTCTGTTAAGTCCATATATATAGCCCACAGATAAATTATGTCCTGTTGTCTTACTATATTGCCTCCAAGTGGAGACATCATTCTGACTATGATACAAATGCAGAATAATATGCAGGCAAAAAAACCGTCACCTGAAGTTACTTAACTTACCAAGCATAGTAGGATATATATCCACAAGAGATACTACATTTGGTATTTGCTGCTGCTCTCTTACACCTGGCCCCATAACTAAAAGAGGAACATGGGAACTTCCCTCATACATGCTCATTTTATAGAATTGACGGTGTTCCATAGCAAGTTCTCCATGATCTGCAGTGAATATAATGATTGTTTTTCCAAGAAGCCCAGTATCTCGCAGAGCTGAAATAATCTCACCTGCAACAACAAAAAGATACTGAAAAGGATACATTAAAAATATTTTTTCCAAGGTCTGTACATGCAAAGCAGCATGCAAATTTCAAGGAGCTCTCCTAGTCAGCAGAGGAAACTCTGCTCTTGTTGCACATAAATTTGTGCAATGAAGGTACAACATGCACTCCTTTTTTTTATGTAAGTTTCTGCAGCAAAGACAGGGCCAAAATCAATGAAGACAATAGTTAGGCAAAGCACTTAGATATTTTAAATATTAAAACTTTAGGATGATTCATGCCTAAACATTCTAGTTAAAAGATGTTATAAAATTACAACTCCAGTGCAGTTACTTCACAATCCTTTCATTTCCTAAAGCTGTTTCCATTGATCTCTTTTCATTCTTAAAATGAGGAAGAGCAATTCTATGTCTTTTAATTCATTTTCCAGTCTAATATGCTGTCCTGGTTTAGGACATATGCCTAAAAGATTAGTGTATTTGATCATGAATTTCCTATTAGTATTTAAACAAATTCTTGCTAATTCATGGTCACTTTTCAAATCAAAAAGTACAATACTGTAAATTAAGACCAACTTCCACTGAAAATTTTGTATCTGCATAACTTCCTGCAAACTCTGAAGAATTCTGAATGTACAATTAATTATTTCTTCATAACTTTTAATAATATGCTTTTAAGGGACACTTCAAGTGTAACCTTATTGTTTAGTCTATGTGTAACAACTGTTATCCAGTTTACAAATTTGAAATCAGTCTCTAAGGAAAACTACTCATGCCCTAAGATTTATCTTCTCTTACAGCTCAGCTTTTACAGTCTGTCCCCTTCACAAAAAATGTTTCCATTACTTCAGCTAGCACTTAATGAAAGAGACTTAGTTCCTCTTGTACATGGGTGTCCTGGGTACAGAGGAAAAGAGGGGTGGAGTTCCCACAATTGTTTAATAACATACCACCTATGTCATGGAGAGAGCATGGTTTTCAGCAGGAAAAGCCAAGGTGTATTGAAGTTGATTCAGTCTTACCTCAGTGGTGGAAAGGTGTGAACTATTCCCTTAACTGTTGCTGAAGTCATGAGCAGGAAGATGAGACAAGCTGCTGCCACCACCACTGCTGCTACTGCTTCTGCTGCTGGTGCCACTATCAGGGCTAGCACTTTCAGAAGCAGGACTCTTTATTTGGATTAATTAGCTCTCCAGGCTTTGTTTTATCCCTGTTTTCCTTTGTTTCCAGGTTAGGGGAATGACAATAAACTGCAGAAACTTTTTTGCCTCATTTGCTTTTCTTCCCTTGAGCTGCATGCTCCAGTATGGAGGGGATGGAGATGACAGGTGCCATCTTGCCTTTGTCTGGGAAAACTGCACTGGGTACTCTCTCTTGGGAGAGAGTTGCTTTTTTGTTGGTGAACATCCTTTTGGGTAGGGCACTCTCCCTTTGTGTCCTTTTTTATCAATATTGTGTTTATTGCGAGATTTTCAGTATAACTGTTGCTCCTACTTGTGGTCTCCCCTAGTATTTCCTGTGCTGTCAAAAGGGGATGGGGAGAAGGGGCAGCTTGCGTGAGGTAATTTTCCCACTGGATTTTAAACCAGTGCAATGGGCCATGCAATATTTTGCTGCAGTCACTGGTCTTCTACAGAGCCTCTGATGTTGTCTGTGATTACTTTCCAGAGTGCTCTCAATTCACCTAAAAGGGTATCCTGTCATTTATCATATAGACGGAATGAGCAACTTCCAACAACTTACTCCCAGATGTGAATTGTGGTGGATTTTTTTCTATCTTTTTCCCACAACGATCAGTCCTATCAGCATTTTTTTTAAAAAAAAATTAGAACTAGAAAACCCACTGTGTAACAAAATATTACCTACCCAGCATGGCATCTGTCTCTGCACACATAGCATAGTAAAATGCTCTAATATTTCTCACTTCTTCTGTTGTAAACTCTCCTGTGCAGTTCTTGGTGTATGATGAGTAATAGTCTACTGGATGCATCTCTGAAAGAGAAGACCACTTGGGTATTTTAATAGCTTCATAATTTACCTAAAAAATAAGAGGAAATCAACATTACTTTAGCAACTGAATTAAACAAGTTTTTGAACACAGATTTAATTTAAAAAACTATAAAGCATAAATTCACAGTTCTGCAATTGTGGCCCAGGAAACACTAGCTGCTAAGTTGTTACACTGTGCAGCTACGTCCTCCATGCTTCCCCACAGCTTCCACAGGTAAATTGTTTTTTTCAAAAACCTATGAAAATCAACTAGAAGCTAAGGTTAGGAGCCACAAATATGTGATTCAACAACTGCTGTGTATTTTTAAGAGATATCACAGAACACTCCTCTAGAGTAGGTACACAATACTGGCATAGAGTCTTCATAACTGTAGAATAACTATGAACTCACAGATCTAAAAGACTGGATGTTATGCGGGTCTAGAGAACGACATGGAAAATCAAGTTGTCTGGGAAAGCCTCCAGGACAAGACGACAAGTCTTGGCATCTTGATAAAAAGAATTGACTACATTAATCCAATTTTCTAATATTTTTTACATGTGTCTACATACATCAAATCCATTTAGTTATCAAGAAATGTGAGATCAGTACAAAATTAAAAAGACAATCTATTTGTGTATTCCTACTACTGCTTCAGTCATTTTCTTATTGCTCAAAGTTCTTGGCTACGTAATGTTACTTTTGGACTTTGCAAATGGTATTTATTAGCTGATTAACATGAGAGCAAAAAGCATCCCTCTCCATCTATGATTCTTTTCTACAGGACTTCAGCCTAGTTTCAAGGATTCACAAAGCCACAATCCCTTTGTCTATTGTAATGCCCAGAGTAACACAAAATTGCCCTGTATTCCATATCTATATGTGCTGTAAGATTTTTACTTGTCTTTAAGACTCAAAGCATGGCTGGAACCAGAATTGCAGGGGTGTCAGGAGGTGCCAGTCACTTTAAAAGGTCAAGAAACCCAAGCTGACTTCCTCTTTTGTGGAAAGAGGAGACTGCCTCAGATAGGTTGATACAGGTGGGTTTATGGGCTTGCAACCGCAGCAAGCAGGAAAAAACTGCATTTAGCAAACAGAAACCACATTCCCAGTGATCTCTGAAAACTCTATAGGCAGTGAACCTTGATCAGGCCCCTGTAGGCTGGGCCACTCCACAGCAGTGTCCAGAGACCTGTTTTCCCTGCTCCCTTCTCCAGCACACCAGCAGATCAGAAGGCACCAGCACCAACACCAGCGGAGTCAAGTGGGCTCAAGAGGAACCAGTGAGCAGCAGTGCTGACCCCACATCAGCTGACCACACTTGCCAGCCCTTCCCATCTGCCACTAGACCTTTGTAAGCACCAACTTTCCCAGGAGGGTTTGCTGCCATCCATCCCCTTTGTTTCTTGGAGTGCATGGTAATCCATGGCAGGTGCCACCTTGGAAAGAGTCTGACACTATTTTCCCTTTGCCCCCTGCAGGCAGTCAGCAGTGGGGGGCTGTCAGATTAGAAGGGACCAGCACCCCACCTGTTTGGGGCGTCTTTGTTGCCGTGAAGCTCCTGAGATTCACCAAGTTTGTATCTAGTGATTACTCACTGACATTTTTTGTATGTTTCACTTGTTAGTAAAATGTTATTTTTTCACTTATATCTATTGATATTGGCTCCTTATTGGTGGAAAGGGATTGGTTGAAACTAAGGAGAGGAGCTTACTTTAGCGTGAATACCCCTTTGAATCATCTTAAACCAAGACACATAATTTATAACTAAGAAAGAAGCCATATGCTCTGAAAAAATGACAGCTTGGGCAAAATAATATAGGGGACCATCTGCTTAACAACACAGGGTTTCACAGACATACCATGTGGATACTCTGTTCTGTATTACTGCTCAAATAAACAAGACATTTAATTCAGTTCTTCACCTATGTGATCAAACTTCTTCATGAGATTACTTCTGCAATTTTAAAAGACTGCTTCTTCCATGACCAAAAAAATGACATTTCCATGACAAAAAAATGACCATGACATTGCAGAAGAACTGGCCAATGGTCAATAAATGGTAATATATGGCCCACACAATGCAGTATGTATACACAGTTGTAGGAAGGACCCCAGCAAGCTGTGTAGTTAAGGTACTCTGAATGGATAAAAGATGACAAAAATTCATCAAGGTGTTATAACTCTGTCTGTGACAAAAAAAAGTACCTATGCTTCCCAAGACACATTTAACCTAGCAATTAGCACCCAGCAAGTTTTCCTTAATAACTAAGCTGGGTGTTTCTTTTTTGTACATGAAAAGGGTTTTTTTCCCCAAGCTCTTCCCTCCACAAACTTCTCATCATTTGCAGAAAAATCCACAAACCTCACTATTACGAAAAAATTCACATCTCAACCTTAATTTTAAATACTTTTTTCCTAAGTATTTGTATTTTTGGTGTCTCTAGATAAAAATGTTTAGCAGTCCTCTTGGGGAAAAGGCCACAAGTTATATAAATTGCATATGGAGGGGTTTTTTGAAAGTCTTATCAACCTAATTCTAATTCTGAAGCTGCAGAGAATGTTAATGCCTTTCTGAAATTAAATCTATTCTAACACAATTATATTTTATGGCAGATAATGGCAACTGGAAAATATACAAGACAGAGAAAAAGTATTTCTTCTTTGGAACAGAATGCCATTTCTTAGCTTTACACAAAGACATAAAGACACTTTACTGTGCTTGAAAACCTACAGTAGCACAGAAAAAGTTAACAGAAAAGGAAGACTTCTGTTGTGTCTTATGCTGTTTCATGTTCTAGGTCCACTGCAGAAAAGGTCAACATTTCACTGTAAAACTCAGACAAAATCATTACATGTATCATTTCTAACAAGCAAAATACAGAATGTTCATTACACTGAACTTCAGACCACTACCAAAATTAATTTACAGCTAAGAAGAAAAACAACCTCATTTATCTTAATGTGTTTCTAGCCATTGAACTCCATAGTTACTCATTGATTCAACAAGTACTGATAACAAACTTTTTCCCACAAAAGAGACAAATTTGTAATTTCTGTTTGCTTAGCCTTTAATCAGAAATCCAACATCTCATTCAAGTACTTTCTTACTGGGTAGTGAAATATCAAAACTGGGTCTATCTTGAAAAATCAGGAATAAAATATTTTTTGTAATAAGTACAGTTATTAATAAAATTATATTTAAATTTTATACTCACGTACCTTTTCAAGCCAATAGGGAGATGTTAAAAATGTAGAGGATCCAAAATTTTCTCCTGCATAGGGTGATGGATATGGGTGTGGTAAATTTAGCCCCAAGTAAAGAACAAATGGTTGAGTAAAGTTAACAGCTTCTTCCTTTATCCAATTTACTGCTTTATCAGTGTTCCGCCAATCTGTTTCCATCACTCTAAACTGCTTCCTATGGCCTGTAAGTTTCACCATGGGTCTTGCTTCTTGTCGGAGCAGGAAGTTAACATCCCTAGTCCAAGCTTCCACACGGTTACTGAAAATACACACACAAGTCACATAATCAGCAGAAAATGTTTTCTTCACTTTTCCTCCATGCAAAAAGCATTATGAATTCCTGAAGAACTTCCTCTATACTTTCAGCAATTTTGAATTCTGCCATAAAGAACAATTGTTATTCAATTGAGCAATAACAACTGTGCATCTATTTTATACTCAGACCTTCAGTCTTGTTATGGCTGCTTCTGACTCTTCTTTCTTATTTATTATCCATTTATGTCAGAGTGTCTCTTCTCACATCTACAAAATAATGCTTAGAAATAGCACTCCATCTTGTGGACCCTTCTCTACATTCTGGCACAGATTCACACTATTTATTTGTCAACTGGGTCTGAGATTTTTATTTGAAAGAATCTCCTGTATTACCTTTCAACTACAGGTATAAAAGCCAAAGTACAGCTGCAAGGGATATGCTTGCCTCTCCATAAAGCTGCAGGACCAATCTCTGCTAGTTACCTTTTAAATTAAAGCTACTGTAATTTCAGCTGGAGACTGAAACCACGTGACAGATCACTACATGATTTGTTCACTGCTGCCTATTTATTAGCAGGAGAATCTACCTGATTACCTTACTGAATGATGTCCAGAAGTAAAATCCAATTTCCCAAACTTCTGTGTACGGTAGCCATGCTTTTCCATGATATCCATCCATGTTACATAATCTGGATCTAGCCCTTTGAAGTTATTCCAAGATTCTGTTAAATGAGTGAAAAGACCACTCCACATAGCTGGAAAAAAAAGAAAAGATGAGTGATTAGTACCCCCCACCTATATGGTTGAGAAAGGATTCATCTTCTCATTATTAAAGAGGCTAAAAATCCAAACTATGATACAATAGAACAAGGAATATAAAGTATTACTCTTCCAAATCTTATTTCATAATCAATACAAGTAACAAAATTTACTCAAATAATTCCCAGAATAGGAGAAGAAGATCCTATCTTTCCAGGTGCCATGCAATCATTAAATCAAGTTTTAGTTAGATCAGAAAATATTCTTCTTGATTTCTGAAAGAAAATGGCATGGTAGTACAGATCCTGATGAAACAATCCTGTATTTACATGTGTTTCAGAGTATTACTTCTCCTTACTACAATTCAATTTAATATGAGTTTAAAGTGTATATGTGGACAGAATTACAATATAGTATTTTCATAAATACAATAAGCCTTCAATTTTATTCATTTTAGGTAATCTACTTCACTTCCAGTTGCAGACACAAAGTGAGAATATTAAAGAAGATACCAAGAAGAAAGGAAACCAAGGCAAGAGTTGCAAAGAAACTATACGGGAAGATTTTTTTAGTGAATTCCTATTTCTTTGCAGCTTATCAAGAATTGTTCACACTTTGCAATGCTAATTTAGAGTTAACGGTAGTCCCAAAACAAAATTAAGTAATTCCACAAGCACTAGAAATATCCTGTAAGCAAAGTGCATCAGCCTCACATGGCAATACTCATCCTTTCCCCACCCCAAAGCCTTCTTTCCCACCATCTCTTCTGGTATCATCCCTGACACCTCCACAAAAGATGCACCCTCAGTTCCTTGCAGGTATCCAAGCTCCTGGCTGAGCAAAACTTGTCTTGCTGGTTCAGAGCCACACATATGAGCTCAGTGGTCACGGCTATCTATAATGCTACACATAACTCTTTAATTGTTTAATTCATTATGCAGTTTCTTTCCCACAGGAGTACTAACCTGTTATTTTCAAAAATTTCATAAAATTAAATAACTGAACATGAAGTTCATTGTTCTTAGCAATAAAAATTGGCCAAAAAGACTCAAGCATGAAGACAAGAAAAAAAAAGGCTGACTGCTTGTTCATGTAATATCACTCACTTAATATGTGACCATGAGAAAAAGAAACGGAGACTAGGGAATCAATAAAGGTAATATTAAAAATGTAACACTATATTTGACTGCCTTTACCTGCTACTTCTTTCAGTGTATGCTTTGAGAGAAAGGGGGATCTCTTTTATAGCTACAGATTAAGGAGGGTCTTTGCAACAACTGAAAATGTAGAAATGTTTTAAGATGCAACCTTTGATTGAGGAATATAGCTTCCTTCTATCTTCCTAAAAAATTCTGCAAGTGTGAAATTGAACACAAAACAAGTATCATATTAAATAAATAAAAACATAGAAGTATTCAATTAAAGCTACTGAAGGGTGCATCATGGATCTAGAAGACAGTGACAACAGCTATCACTTTATTCAGCTGTTATTATTTATTACTCTTTGCTGAATACAGGAAAGATATTTATTAACATTGTATTGGGAAAAGAGAGTAGTTCTGCATGTAGTTTCAGCACTGCAGCAGAACAAATCAATGATTTCTCTATAAATCCTGAAGATTTTTTAAAAATCTGAAGCTTCAGTGGAGTTTATAAAAAAATTTGGGAGCTTACACTTAACTGAAAAAAAGAAAACAAAAAATAAAGGCGGAAACATAAGAAACAGAAGAGATCAACAGATGAAACAGACTACCATAAGAATTCAAGCACAAACTAAAAAAACCCCAAAAGGATGTTACTGAAACACAAAACAAATCCCTCCCCAATAAGTCATTTCAAATTTCCCACCATTACCACATATTTAAATTGTGCAAGCACTTATCTGATGTTTTGCTTGGTTCTACCTGCACGGGAAGGACAACAAATTGGAGAATTGGTGTAGGCATTGAGAAAGACAGTGCCATGTCTTTTCATAAAATTTATGGAAGGTAAATCCACAGTCTGATTTCCTGGAAAAAATGTTAAGCGTCCATCCTGCAATCAGACAAAGGCAACACATAAACAGCATTAATGCAAACTATCAGCTGCATTAATTAATTTGTTTGTTACCTTGGACTTGTGTTGCTCAAATGCTGCCAATTCTACACAGGTATGAAAAACAGTGTTGAGAAGCTCTAAGTAGAACAATATAAAATGGATCACTTTTGAAAAAGTGCAATGGAAAAGATAACTGTGCTTCTTTTCCGTAAAATTAATTCCACTGTACCACTATACATATTCCAAGCTCCAGCTCTTCAGGGGTGATACATTCAATGGGAGTAGGTAAGGTGAAGGGTGACAAGGAGTAAGGCAGATGTGTACAGTAGCACACATACTTGTGTAACATTTCTGTGAAAACATCATTGATCCCTCATCCTTTTTAAAGGGTTATCCATACCACTTCTCTATGAACTTCTTTGAAACTACAGACTGGAAAAGGGATCAGAAAGCTAAAGGAAAGCTATTCTCCCACAGAAATCCCATCCACAAGGGTACCCTTTTGATACTTTCATAATGCTAATTTCCTTTTCACCTATTTGTTTAGACAGAGTTTTTAATCAGTAACTGAAAAAAGACTAAACATTCTGAACAGGTAATTTTACAGCACAAGATTTTCATCACATGAAACCAGACTTAATGCAGAGTGCCATATTTCATGTCATTGTGTTTTATCTGTCAGTTTTACTTCTTTGCTTGGTTGAATAAGATGCAGCCTCAGCCTGACCAGCTCTTCAGTGAACAGACAGGCAACAGTGCATCTGCAGTTTTAACTGCAGAAAAAAATAATTCCTGCCATTTGGTTCTGGCAGAAATACTCTTGGATAACCCAGCATTGTAGAGAGTCACTTCATTTGGCACCAGTAGAGCTAACTGCGGCATCCCAGCCTCTGAAATCAGCTCATATCAGAGCATGCTAAATGAACAATCACCTAATTTTGTATACTACTACAAATGGCATCTTGAACAAGCACTCAGTAGGACAAACTGGAAATAAAGCTGTAATACACAATAGGCACTTGAACAAAACATTGGGCTGAAAGTGCTCGTTAGAAAGTTGTCCTGGTTCTAGCCAGGAGAGGGTTCATTTTTGCAGTAGCCAGGAGAGGACAAGGCTAAGACATGGAGGTTATTGTGTACCACCTCACATCATTTTCCTTCCATCATGGGTCCCTTCCATGTCAAGGTAGTGTGGCAGTGGTCAGGTACTGTCAGGCTCCACATAGTATAGTGGTGAGCATTCAGATGTGAGTTGCTCACCTGTCTTTTTACATTTTTGTTATTAATGTTGCTGCTGTTACTGTCCTAGTAAACTGCTCTAATTCTGCTGTTTCTAGTAAATTGTTCTTACCGCATCCTGTGACCTTTATCTTTTGTGCTTTCAATTCTCTGCTCCAGCCTGCCGCAAAGGAACGGGACAGGGACAGAGGAGCAAGCAAGTGGCACATGGCTTGGAGTGATTTCAGTGGGAACACTAAATTGGAAAACACCATTCCTAAATCATGACAAAAAGTACACAACTGCTGCTCAGTCTTGTCAACAGCACATTCTTAAGTTTCTCCAACAAAATTTTGTTTGAACAGCTGGAGACAACAGTTCCTTGTATTGATACTATGATACCATTTTCAAGGACACAGAAGCAAAATAACTCCATGTACTTTGTGTCACAGGATGCTTGGTGCCCTGTGACATGATCATTGTTTCTATAGATGACAGGGTATTCAGTGAAAGTTGTGTCTTGAATTGGCTGAGAAGGTGGAAGCTCAACAGCTATTCCTGGAAGTCCATCCTCTAAGAACTATGTAGGGTTTCTAGGTATTGAAACACCTAAGGAAATAAAATTCACACAAACAAGCACCTTTCATTCAGGAACTTGAGATGCATTGCATGCAAAGCCTGTCATCCATTACACAGTTAACTTCAAGTAGCAATTCAGGAGCTGAATTGGCTCATTAGCACATTTCACTAGGAAACCCTTCAAATAGCGCAATGCCTGACATGACACAGCAGCAGAAAGCTAGCTGTTCAAGCAAGAGGTCACTGTTCTGCAGGCCAAACACAATCCAGCATCACTGAGGAAAAAATTTTTGTCCCACTTGGTATAATAGGTGTGATTCCTCCATAGATAGCAATGGCAAGAACACTTTCTAATGGAAGTCCAGACTTTTTAACAGCCTACAGGACTTGAGCTTTTTTTCCAAAAAATCTGTTAGTTTCAACTAACTGTTGAACTAACTGTTCATCTGTTAGTTAGTACCCAATCCTTCCTATCCTCTACTAGTGATGTAATCAAAATAATTAATCTATTTCTACCTTCAAATCCATCTCAAAAAAGAGCTTACACAACACATTTATTTTACTATATTCTATGTTCTTTGTATGCCTATGCAAATTTGACACTTTTCAAAAACAGCACCTTGTTCTTATTTGTCCACATTAGAATTCCACAAACATTGTGGGCTTTTACCTTTCTTTTTTGTAAGGGTTACCTCATTAATCCCTGTAATACAGTTTACAAGAATCTTCCTGCTTAAAGGGGACATATAAAAGTTCTAAGTTTGTCTGCAGCCTCTGCTAGTAACCCTCAGGACCTTAAATACTGTAATACAGTAAATAGACTTCTGGTGAACTGAAAATTTGGACAAAAAAAACATGCATTATTTTGGAATATTAAGTGAGATGATTTACTGAAACTAAAACTAACAGACAATAGAGACAAAGCAAGGAAACTCGGTAAGATACTATTACATTAATAAAGAAAGAGCTATTTCTTCATCTTTGAAATCACAACAAATTTGCTTAAAGACATTAAGGGATTGAAAAAATTAATACATGTTTACCAAATATTCAGGAAAAATTCATCCCAAGAAAAACAGGCAGAACAGGCAACAGGCAAGAAGCCAGCTGCTTTTATCTGTGCAGTCAAGGATGGAAGCTACGAATCAAACTTCCTCAATAGCGAATAAAAGTGATGAAATGTGAAAGCACCTGGAGCTTAACACCACAGAGCTTATGTTTGATTCCACAACAAGGAGAGCTCAGATGAGTTAGAGAAATCAAGGCTCCTCAGAGTAAGACATACATCAAAGCATTTCCAGTGTGCTGGGCAGGCACAGTGAAGATACATGAAAGGCTTAGTACTTGTGAGTGGAAAAATTTCTATGTGTCTTGAGGGCTAAGCCAAATACATTAATAAATCACTGTAATGAAGCCGTTAGATGCCTACCACTAAAGATACATGTCTGACAAGTTTATTGTGTTGTTATACCTTATAACAGCCCCAGTAAACCACTACTTAATGCCTGATTAGACAGTAATTTCATCTGTGATTACAGAAATTCTCTATCCCATTTGTTGTGGAGTCTTAACACTCTTAGGATTTACAATGGGAAGGATAACCGTGTTTGGTGACTTTGCTTGCCATTAGGCTTTTCACCAACCGAAGACCATTCACTTTCCCCACCAGCCCTGTTCCAGTGGCGGCTGCCCCACGCCAGAGTCCTCCTGGTACACCGCGGGTGACAAGTTACAGTATCACACCAGACGGCGGGAGCCACCTGCGCAGAGATTCTCGGCTGGTGTAATGCCTCTGCTGGAAGCACGGCGTACCCCCCCGTAAAAAGCGGGCCACGTTTGGTTTGGAACATGGGTGAACAGCCGAGGAGCGAGTGCCTCGCCACACGACGGGCCCGTGTGCGCATGCCCCTACCTCTGGCCTGGGCAATGCATCCCCACGGCCGTGGTGCCTCAGCCTCGGTAGTCCCGCACAGGCCACCGCCGAGGGTTTTTCGGCTCTCCCTTACATGTCAGGGTGCCCTCCCACACCCCGGTCACTTACCAAGGAGTCGCAGGCAACCAGCACCACATTAGATGGGGGCTGGTCCCCGGGGGCGGTAGGCCGCGGCCTCGCTCCCGACCCGGCGGCCATAAGGAGCAGCACCAGCCCGGCTCGCCCCAGCGGCCCGCCGTCTCGCATCGCCCCGCCACGGTGGCCCCCAGCTCCCGAACCGAAAGGAGAATCAGCTCCGAAACCAGATTCCGGGGCTCTGGCCACAGCGTAAGGCTTGACCACGCCACACACTAATCGCTCGCTGCAGCCTACAACTCCCACCGGGCCCCGGGCGGCGGCCTGCAGTTCCCAGCGTGCCCTGGGAGGCAGGAACTACATATCCCGTAGTGCCCCAAGAGAAAATGGTGGCTGGGCGCGTCACTGCCCAGCGGTCGGAGTGTGCATGTGGCCGGGCGGCGGCTGAGGTGGCGGAGGCGGCGGTGGCTGAAGGTGCGGCAGGGGCGGGG